ACTCTCTTCGAAGGACACGTAATAAACAGCACACACCTTTCCACGCCCTTGGGTCGGGTTAATAAATAGCGGTGTAATATGTTGACACATGATAACTCTTTCTGTTGGCCGATAGATACTCTTTTATTCTGACCAAACTGCGCAGAATCCAACATAAGGGGGGCCTCCAGACTGGAGGCCCCCAGTGCTGGCTGCAGTAGTGGCGTGTTTGAACTGAGTCCAGTGGAGGCGTCAAGCGGTTCGACTCGAGCGTCTAAGGGCCCAATCTCGGTTGGCATCGACAATCATTGTCACAATGCGGCTATGTCAGCATAGATCTTGTATCCTCGATGGACCCCTTTGCCATAGCCGCGAGCTGCGTCCACGTGCGGGGGTCGCGCACTGGTTCTGTTAAAGCCGTCCCACCAGCAGGAAGATCTCAAGCAGCAATCTTCTGACTCAGAAGCTGAGGGCGTCGCGCGCTGAAACAGAGCCACGGTCACTATTTGATTTCATGCTGGACTCGCTGAGGAAGCACGCACTAGGTACGCAGGCCGACCTTACTCGTTCCTTTCGATATCGACTCCTTACATGCAGCCTTTTGCAGTTATTCTCGTCGCCATCCTGTTCGCCACGTATCGCCTCTCGCGACTGGAGGGCGAGCGCGGACGGCGTGGGGCGAATATTGAGCAAGACGTGCGTTGACTAGCTACTGATCCTTTGAATCCGACGTCCTCTGACGCCACACCTTTCGCAGTTTGAAACCGTTGTAGGCTTCCTGCACCAGCACTTGAACACCAAGTACCGCGTGCTACGCATCGCCCCGCCGCCGCATTCAGCGACCAAACTGCATGCGATGATAGTGAACGCTGGGTTCGCCATCCCACACGTGGGTACGGCGCTGCCTGTTGATGTTTTCTTAGGTGGTTTTGATCTGCAGCTTTGAGCAGAAGCTGAAGTGTTCGTGGACCAGCAATATGCACTTAATCAACGAAAACACAAGCGAAGAGATCGACGGCATATACCGCCTGTGCGCTTCCGAGTGTATGATGCCGATGCGATGACGTCGATTGCTGAGGTGTTTTTTTTTCGTTCCTGTCGTTGCTTGGTATCGTATCCGCACGGCTTAACGACAATCATTGTTGTTATGTAGACTCTTCAACAACGGAACCTCATCGCCTCATACGAACAAGGATATCAACCTATCTAAGAATCACGGAACTCAACCGCGCCGTAGTTAAGACTCTTAAGACTCTTAACTACGGCTCTAAACTTGAGAGTAGGACTAAAGATTGAACATGTCAATCTCCTCTTCCTTCTCTGCTTCGTCATTTCTCTTTGTAGAAGCACTCGCCTTACTGCTTTTGAGAACAGAGCGTAGTCGTTCATGGGGCTTCCAGCCGAACTGAATGACTGTAGCTGTGAGGTTGTCAACGCTTCCTTTCTTGTAGGCTGCCTTGACGATCGCATCAGCCGCGGCTTTAGCATCGTGAAAGTGTGGCAATGCTATATTCACCGCTTCTTGCTCGCTAAGCACGTCCCAGACGCCATCGCAGGCTAAGACAAGGAACAGATCGTCATCTTGCACTGTTACTCGCTTCACCTCTGGCTCACATGAAACAAGCGATGTCGGAGTCTTCAGGGATCGGTCGCCAAATGCACGTGACACTGCCAAATACGTCGACTTCTCACGCTCCACAGCCAACCCAGCACCAGCAGCAGAGTAGACTCGAAATATGCCTGCTATCTTGCCCACGAAGCCACCCGCTTTCTCGATTCGCTGCTGTTCGTCGGGGCGATCCGGTTTGTGGTCACTTGTCAGAGCTACACCGCGGCCACCACGACACATGACCGCACGGCAGTCGCCAACGTTCACCGTGTACAAGCTCAACTCGTCCCTTAGTGACCCATTGTCGTCTTCGCCGTCAAACCGGATTGTGTCAGCTAAAAACCAAACCAGGAGAGCGGTAGAACCATCTTGCGACGAATTCTTCTGCAAGATTTGGGAATCCACTCGATCAAAAGCTTCTTTGAAAGATTTCAAGAAATGTCCGTGCTGTTCATGATACCATTTTCTTCGATCTTCTCGGCGTATTGCTTGCTCAGCGTTAACTTGCGATACTTCGCTGTCCAACTGCGAGATGGTATCCGTAAGTTGGTCGACCAAAACTTGCATCTCATCAGCAGAGCTCTCCGAATCTGGGTCTTTCAAAGACTCCAGCTCAGCGAGCTGTTGACGCAGTAGCTGTATTTGCTCCATGATAGCCTCCTTGCCAGATTCCTCTTGCTTCGATTGCTCTTGGGAGCGTTCCAGGACAGTGAACGCTCTACCCCCAATGCGGTGGCGTACTACAGAGGCGACAGTTTTCACAAGATGCCGCGTTAAGAAATCTGCTGTAAAAGTTCCGCCGTGACCATCAAAAACGCCAAACACTGGTCCAGGGAAGAGCTCAGTGGAAGATATGTGACGATCCTCGTTGCTAGTCTTCATGCCAGCCCACGACTCGGTCGCATACCGGAGTCCAGGAATGGAGTAATGTCCATTCTGTACTTGCTCCGAAGGTTTTACTCGACCAGCCTGTTTGGTGTCACGCGACACCTTTACGTGCGTATTCCCCTCAGTATCGTCATCGGCAAGGAATTTGCGCTTCGACATATTCGACTTGGGAGTCAGCCCCTGACAGGAGCTTAGATTCCGTTTATCTAGCGCTCCCTTACAAACATTTACTGACGATCTGCACTAAAGTCAAGTATTAGTCTAGGAAACTCCATGCATCAATGTCACATTAAGCGGATATAAACTACTCAACAGGGTGGAGTTGAAGCCCTGACTTTACAGACGAAGCCCCAGCTAAGCCACGGTCGATGTCGCATAGCAACGGGCAGATACTGGGTTATAGCAACAAATACAACCACACCAGGTCAGAAGTAATAAACGCAAGCGAATAGTCTGAAATACGTACGTGGAGTCGGGATGAGTTGTAGGCCATTGGACCCACAAATCTTCAACTGCGCTGAGAACTCGCTCATGCAGCACCACCACACAAATCGCGTCGTACCCACCCGCTAAAAGCATCAGCGACAAGTTAATCAACTGGACGATACAAATGCTTCATGAGCGCGTACCTCCAGGGACTCCAGCGAGTAAAACACCAGGGATCGCCAGCGTTGCGTCGAGAATGGCAGTTTGCTGGGGTGGCTCGATTGGGACTCCGGCAGAAATTCCCATTTCGCTAAGATAAAAAGTGAAAAGGAAATGAGTCCGAGTGTCATCAGATTAAACTCGACAACGAGTAAAACATGCTTACCGCATGAGGACTCGAAAATGAGAGAAGGCTTCACTGAGTCTCAAAAGAATGGCCCCAATCCTAGCATCAATAGCACTCCACTACACACACAGGGTGAGCATATGAAGGAACATCGGGTTGACAGGAGTACAGTATACCTGCTCGCGGCTTTGAGTTGCCATGGCTTCCCAATCTATGGGATTGTTGCAGGCGGCTTCCAGCTCGCAGATTTCAGCAAAGCCTCGCTCGACTTCCAAATTGTGACCGTGAATTTCATCCATCACTCGCTTTGCGTCTTCAGGTTGCTCCCTTTGCCACTTCAACACTTGTCGAACCATTGATACGGTAGCCGAACCAGAAGATACGTCTCCCATCATTAAGTGGAAGCTTGAAGGCAGTCGAACGGGTTTCTACCAACCAGAAAATGCAGTGCAACAAAGTGAGTTAAAATGGCCAAAACTCTGCACCAACATCCAGCAATATTTTACCACGCGGCTAGAAGTTTTCCACAAGGTGCGGTTAGTAATGCACTGGGCAATTTCTTCCGGTTTCATCGCATCTTCAGACGCGAATGCGTTCAAAATGGACGACGGGAATCTCGTATACCGCTGCGAGCCGAAACATGCCGCCGAGACATCAAAGCCACTTCCTATCTGTCAAGATAAGGAGTGGAATAACCTGTTACGTGACCATCGTTGCTAAAATATGATCCGGATGACATTACCTTGCGCTGCACGTAGCAGTGGCTCAGTTGGGCAAGGTTGTGTACAACTTCGAGGTCCTGTTGTTCCTCATCGAACTTCATAGATGGCACAAAGAATGCCACGAGAGCTGCAACGAGCGACGTCACAAGCGCTGCGGAACTTCCCATGCCAGTCTTCAGAGCAACCTGCTTGCCACCACGCTCTAAACACTAAGATTAGACTATCTTTTTCACATATTTCACATCTGTAGGTAGATCAAGCCCATGCATACCTTCCATGGTGGGAGGGAGGAATGCCTCGAGTGTCTTCAAGTGGGCACGACGCAGTGGTAACTTGGCATCTTGTAACTAACAAGCAAATCAGCGTCATCACCACCAAACCTTACAGCTATAATAGCAATAAGCTCCTTCTTACCCTCTGCACTTGCGAGTAGAAGTCGTTATCACCGCGAAGCGTAACATGAACACCGGCATTCGTCTCCTTTAGATGCTGAAAAGTATCATTGCTTTTGAGCGCCTGCAATCCGGCAATGCCATTCAGCGCACATAGAACTGTCTCCTCAATGTATGAGTTGCGATGTGAAGTCTCCCTTGGAACAAACCACAGTCAATTATCTCCACACAATTCACCACGATTCTGTTTCTCGTCACCTGAGCTGAAAACGGAATCGTCTGGCGTCATTTTCCTCGATCCAACCGTCAATTCGCTGGTCGAACTGTTTACTCTCCAATGTCAATGGGAATAGCTGATGCCATTCACTTGAAGAAGCAGAAACTGCGTCCTTGTCATTCAGAATCTGCTAAATGACGTTAGAGCTCGACAAAAAATGACACATTTTCCACCTGTCGAAATTGTACCTTGGTCTCCACTTGGGAGTAAAATCTTGCCGTACCGGAGAGAACTACCCCCGAATACTGCTCATCCAGCACCACATACCCTCCCACAAGCAGTACTTTGCCAGGTGCAGACACACAGGTGGGGCGGAGATTCGCCATGGTGTTTCGCCAGGTGCTTTTTCTAAAGCAAAAGGGCTAGGCTTCGCTTCTCATTGGCTTTCACTTAAGTAAAATCATTTGATTAGTTGCATTTTGATTGATAATTCTTACCCTCAATTCCATGCTATTTTTCGCTATTTAGACTACCCACACCGCCGCCTTTATCGGCCATGGCGTCGTCCTCGGCGCCGTACGTGACTCCGCCCGCCTCTACCGTCCATCCAGCGTCAGCCTCTCACGCTCTCCATGCGTCTCTTGCGTCCAACAGGGAGCATGCTAACCCACTGCAGCAACGCGCGGCCGCTGCGGCGCAGGTGCGTTTTAAAAAGCAGAATATCCACTGTGGAATGTCAACGAAAACGTTTTGTTTTTTAGCCTGTATTCCTAACTGTGGTGGCCTTTCGCAGGCGCTACTGGCCCCGGGACGCTCCGTCTCGCAGCGAGAGATACAGGCTATGCTTGAGAAGAATGAGGCAGCGCTTAAAGGCTGGAATGCGCTCCATAAGCAGCAGCGTACGAGCCCCGGAATACTCTTTTGTCGTCATTTGATGTAATATGAATCATTTTGAAACTAACATATTATGGCTGTAATTGGTACTGTAGCTGCCAAGACAAACCCTGCAGAGCACAAGGAGTGGGTGAGGAGGTGTCTGATCTTTCGTCAACAAATTGGTGCTAGGCTCGAGCTGTTAGCCTCATTGGCAGATAAACAGATCGCTCACGAAGACGAGAAGGGTGGAGGGCGGCGGATATCGCCCAATGCAGCAGCAGCAAGACAAGCTGGAGTGACACAGAACCCAACACTGGCAGCTCCGAGCTCTGCAGTCCCACAGATTCCACAACAGCCGAAGCCTGCTCCGCAGCAGGTTTATGCACCCCCACCGATGAGGGCTAACAGTAATCCGATGGCCATGACCTCGTCCACTTCAGCGTCCATGGCGATGCCAAATATGGGGGCACCGACGCCTCCAACGATGTTCCCGGAGCCTCCGATGCCGACAGTTGGCTTCGCGTCGACAAGCTCGAGTATGTTCTTCCCAACAGGCCAGATGAACCCCATGCAGACGTCGACTAGCTTCACTTCAAGCTCTTCGATGGCTGTCTCTGGTGTCACAACGTCGACACAAGGATACGCGATGAGCTCCGGGGTACAGACGTTCACGCCCAACGCGTACATGACCTCCACGAGTGGACCCCCGAGCTCGTCTGCTGCATTTATGAACCAGCAAAACTACATGATGGGCGGCGGCATGATGAATCCGCAACAACAGCAGTTTATGCCCATGCCCATGCCCATGAACTTGGCGTCTTCTGGGAATATGTACGACAACAACAATTACGGCATGTCTTCAGCATCGACATCAGCGAACAACGTCAATGGCAACAACAATAGTAGCAGTAACAACTTTCCCGTGGATCCGTTTATGACGCCACTTGGGTTCGGCCCCGATGCAAGCTTCGGATCAACGGGATTCCCCATGACTGGGATGTCAAACATGCCCATGCAGCAACAGCAGATGATGGGGTCTATGAACGCGGTCAACTTCGGAGCACAAGGAGCGTCGATGATGCCCAACAATTTTGGATATGGGGCAGCACCAAATATGATGCCACAGCCATTACCGACACAGCAGTTCCAGCCCACGCCTCAGTCTTTCCAGCAACAAAATCAGCTCCAACAGCAGAGTGGAGTGGGGTCCATGAGCATGTCTCCAGACTCAGCATTATACGGGGACAGCAACGTAAATATCTTCGAAGGGCTGACAGATGATGCCTTCTTTCCAATGCAATGACCAACCTCCTCTCAGCTTCTGTCGAAGTGTTCCAAGTCGCCGCTTGTCGGTGCGTCGTTTACGTGCTGAGCTTCTCATAATCTCGCCGAAGCAGGTCGTATAACCGCTCTCGTCGTGCTGACACGTTTGCAGACGCTCGCAAGCGGGAGCGGATGGATGGCGGGAGATTCCGAGACGCAGCGTTCACACGTCCGACACAGTTGCTTCCGACGAGGACTTGGATTTTACGCGATTCGTCCCAGGGTTTGTGTGGAGTGGCAGCACGAGTTTCTTGGTCAATCAACAGCTCCGATAGCTTCGGTAGGGTGAAGATTTTCTGCTTCGACTCGACAGAATTCCGAACAGGCGAACGTTGTTGAAGCAGGGCGGATCGATCCGACGTACCCTTGAAGACGGAAATACGGTCAGGACTGGGGTATTGGGGTGTGGCTGGGCTGTCGTACGTGACTCGATAAGCAGGTTGTGGCTGGGTGTATTGGGTGGTTTGTTGCTGCGGGCTTACAAATGGGTGGGAGTGGACCGGTTCTTGCTGAAGCCTGCTTAAGTTTTCGAGGACAGATGCTGTCGCCTCCAGCGTGACGAATTCTGGTACTGGAGTGGCTGTGTAAGTTGAGAATTTTGTTGATGGAGAGTTGCGTATCGGAGGATGGAGCGCTGTAAAGCGCAACTCCGAAAGAGCTGGAGCGAATTCTTTTTCACGGTCAATTTCTTGATATTTTAAGAGGTAGGATTTCGTGTTTTCGGTCTGGAAAGGGTCCTGTTTACCGACATGCTTTTCGTACTGGAAGAGATTCTTGTGTGCTTGGAAGAACGTTTGGGCAGCTGAGTTCTCCATTTTGTTGCTAACGGGGCAGAAGCAAGTAGGGGGAAACTGCGAGTGACCTATTGATACTTTTGGGAGGTGAAGAGTCGGTCAGTTCGCTCAAAAAGATTAGGATGAAGACCGCTAGCTCCTTGTCTACTCCACCGACACTTTCATCTTCGTTGTCCGGCGTGCCATCTTTCGTTCGCATCGGAGAGGGGTCGTTCTCGCCTGGAGACGTGTATGTGGAGTGCATCCTCCCTAAAGTTATCTCCAGGGATCACCTCTCTGAACCAGGCGACAGATCGAAAGGATCGAAGAAAAGCAGCTTGGGTAGCAACACGAGTTTCCTGACCGAGACAGTTGTGCTGCCACTTGGAGAGCACCCAGCGATTTTACAAGCTCGAGAAGAATGTCGGGTCCTCATGAGTGGCAACGATGTTTGCGTGCTGGAGGACGAGACCGTCAAGGAAGACGTGGTGCAGATTCTTGGCAACGACGCCGAGTTGGTGTTTCCCGTCCGCAACATCTTCCGCTACCTCGTCCTGTTTGTCGAGAACATGGATCTCTTTCTGGACTTTCACGTCGAGGTGCTGGATGATGCACAAAAGTATCGACGGTTCACAGTAACCAACACGAGATCTCTCGCTCGTGTCGAAGACTCGAGATGTCAGTTGCCGCTCGCATTCGGCCCACAACCTGGTTGGCGCTACCTGTGCATGGATCTACAAGATCTCACGAGCCAAGCGTTCGGTACTCGTCATGTGACCACAACAAAGGTGCGTGTCGGTGGCCATTGTCGTCTGCTTCGCATGTTTTTCCAGGACGAGCGCTACGCCGACGCCGACTTGCCTGCACACCTCACATTCCTTGGGTAGCTAGCTGCCTGTACAGTACATATCAACATCAACAGGATACGCCCTTGATACAATTAGATGAAGTTTTATAACTCGAGGATCACGTTGAACTAACGTTAGCTGTTTGCCTGGAAATGTGATCTATGTGCTTGGGCGGGAGGCCTACAGATACGACAAGTTGATCGTATACTGTGGGTCTCGCTGATTGCGTTGACGTGATACTTCGGTGAAGATACGGTGGTTGAGCCACAGCGACTCCAGGTACCTGTAGCGACTCATGTCTAATCGAAGCGGGCGTCCACGCTGAAGCCCAATGTCTTCTTCACCATGAGCATCAACGTACGGACTGGGGAAGTACGCTGCCATGCTGCCTCCAACAATCGCAATACGACACTGTTCTAGCAACAGAACAATGCCTACACCGCCTCCACACTCAGCGGCGTGACGAGTGCATTCTCCCACTGGTGGCCCATGAGGCATGAACGCACGTGTACAGCACGAGTCTCCACAGCACAGATACTCACCACAAATCAAACACAGACCTGGGTCGCAAGGTGCCTTCTCACATCGCGTGCACTTGCGGCCTGCCATCTCGCTGTACAATTCATCGTACTGAACCGGCAAGTCGATCAGACGTGGACGAGTGGGAACCTCGCGCAGGATAAACATGCTGGCGACATAGGCCTCGCTGCAACCTTCCGTGTGTTCACACTTGTCGCCAACCTTTGAGCTGCCCAGGTGGGTCTTGCTGAGCATGCGATCCATGCACCAGTGCCAGATTTGATCGAACGTCGCGTCTGAACAGTGAGCTATGTCGACTAACGTGGGGATTTGCATCGTTCTGCTTGTAGCTGAAAAACTGCTTTCTCCATCCACCAGGCAGCGCCAGAAGAGCTTCATACGGCGAACAAACGAAGCATTGGCCGGTAGGATACGTTGCAGGCGTGCCTTAACATCTGCTACTGTTGTGAATGGCTTGAGTTTCTCAGTTGGGTGCGCCTTCGCCATTCGCTGCAACAACTGAAGCGCGGCATACGCGTCAGACTCCGCTTCGCCAGATACCTCCATCACTTCCATCAGCTGCTGAGCAGAACCATTAGCATTAGACGACCGAGTTGGCTCTATCGGGCTAATGGCACGGCCACTTCTTGTGCGGCGTGGATCTAACGCCGTGACGTTTCCCTCCACTGCTGCTGGCTGTCCGGAGTCCCCGCTTTCACTGGCAGCAACAAGCGAGAACTTATCTTGAAATAGCGATGTTCCCTCCATCTTAGTAGGCTCGAAAAACTCAGCATGCAGACGCTGCAATAAGTCCGCAGCAGTAAACACAGGCATGAACCGCCAAATTGTTTCAAGTTCATCTGCTATCACGCTGGCCACCACGAAAGCCTACAGCAACACAGCTCAATTCCATTAGTTATCGACAGCATATCGATTATGTAGGTGAGATTTCAATGTACCGTGAATGTATCCGCTACTAGCAGACCTAAGATGGTACCCCGAAGGCAAGCATCGATCGAGCCAAGCACCTAATCAAAGAGAAAACAAGTTAGCATCAGGTATACTCCCTCAAAGCATGGCATTAAGCCCACGATGTCAAGTTTCTTACCTTTGTGAATTTGCGGTATTCACGCTTGGTCTCGGTATTGATCGGGCAACAGCGTTTAGCAGCCTCCCAAATCACCTTGGCATCGGCACAGTGCTCCAAGAGTGAACATGTCCATCGACAGAACTTCGTCACAGATGTTAACGACTCTAGCTCCTTCTCAAGAGACGGAGGGCATTGGTCTGTTAGCGGATCGAACGGTACGTTGCTGCTGGAGATACTCTGGTGTTCATCTTCAGCAACAGTCAAAAATGACGCCAAAGTATACGCGCACGAAGCCCACAAGAAAGGAGCGCCCTTTTCCAGACTCCCATGAGGCTCCCATAACGTATCCTCAAAGTAATCTCGCCACATATCATGTTCTGTGTCGTTCTCATCGTCTTCAAATCCCCCATCGCGTCCCAGTACGGAGCGGTACCAGCCGGGCATCGACAACTGGTCTTCCACGATCTTGTCCCAGACAGGAGATTTTTCTTCCTCATCTCCTGTCAGCGCCACAGCAGGACGCTTCTGCTCCCGTTCGTCTTCCTTCCCTATCGAGATCCGTGGCTCAGACGTTGGGATCAAGAAATTGCTCAACGTTTTGCACAGCGGACACAGGAACTGTGTCATCGCTGAATCCGGATCAATAGCTTGAACGCCATCGAACTCTTCACCGCGCATTGCCTTGTTATGCAGTGACGTGATATACCGTTCTAGACAGTTGACGTGCACGGCATGTTGGCATGTACGAACGTGCAGTCCACACGGAGTGAGATAGAGCTTGGCACTCTCGTGAGGTCGACCAAACCCGGGCGGCAGACGCTCTAAATGGAATCGATCTTCAAAGTCTTCATCATCGCTGTCATACATCGGTCTGCCTTGAGCACGCATGTTGCCACCTCTGGCTCCAACCATTTCACGCCCACCCAATCGACGAGGCTCTACTCGATTACCGCGCAAGTCTAAGCTCACAGCGCCACGCATATCCATCGGAAAGAGCTGCTGATCTTCACGAAGGTCGAGAACGCCTTCAAGAACCTCTAGCTCTTCATCTGTCTGCAATAGCTCGCCTTCAAGCATCGGGATATTTCCATTGCCAAAGCGAATGCGATCATTGCGAGGGCGACGAGCAGCAGACGGACGAGGACTATTCTGTGCCGTGTTGTTACGAGTAAGTTGGTCCTCCAGTGAGCCATCCATGTACCATTCCGGGAACGATGTCGCGAAAGCACGCAGAGTAGGCGACGGGGAGTTTGGCATATCGGACGAGGTCGAGCTGCCACCTGAACACAATTCCATCTTCTCGATAACCTTCTTCACGTGACTACGAACCTTCTTCCCCTCTGGACCGAGAGCTTCGTTAGGCTCGGGTCTGAATCCTGGAGCTAGAACAGTAGACTGATGGACGTAGGCCGCCATTCCCATTTGACCCTGTTGCGAGCTGTCATGGCAGAGAATGCAGTTGTAGCACCGCTTGTTCTCCACTTTCTGGTGCTTTTTCGTATCCTCTTCAGGCTCTTCCAGCATCGAAGCCTTGCGCTTACCCAACGCCAAACGCTCTCCCTTTGACCCTTCTTTATCCATCTTCTCTTCCTCGCCATCATCCTCAAGATCAACCATCGCCTGGAAAGCAGCCTGACGTTTTGCCATCGCAGCCATCGCTCTCTTCCTAGCCTCCATCTTGCGTTGCTCCAACGTCATGGGCGGAGAATTACCGCTCAGTGTCGAGCCACTTGTAGCCGCAGGTGATGATTCGCTCTTCTTTTGCTTCGACGTGGCGTCATTTGACAATTGCTCGAATACTTTTCTGCAAGCAGGAGACTCTGAACTGAACTTCCAAATGAGCCATTCGACCGTTCCAGTTTGTTCGTTATCGAGCAGCGTGGTTGCTTGTTCGAGCAATTGACTCAACAGATGAAGCACCGACAACTTGGAGGTAGCAGCGCTCAGTTTGCTTAAGCGCGTCCAGAAACGGCGGTCTGAAGACTGCGACGCCGTGTGCGCACCATGCACCAGCAAGTGCAAACAGGTCGAGATTACAGCATCAGAGACGCTGTTCTCCGAGCCTTTTGCGGGTGCAGATCCAGTGTGCGCTGAGGAAATGACCCTCCACAGAATAACCTGCGCAATCGCCATAGTACTTTCACACGTCAGAATCGCTTGGGCTGGACGAAGGAAGGCAACGGGAGGTTTCGCAGGCTTCAGCGGTTCCTTCGGAGGCGCATCTGGGCTTGCTTTCTTCGCCTTTTGACGATATGCATTGCGATAGGTCGTCCAACGATCACGTGCTAGCTCATGTGCTTCGCGGTTCAGATGGAGGAAGTACGGGTTGTAGCTCTCCAGAAGACCCTCCTTCAATTCGTATCGGCCAGGTTCCAGTCCCGACGGTGGCACAAAGTTGGACACCTTTGCAAGAACGCTTTGTAGCCGTGCAGTTGGAATGTCGTCTTGACCTGACGGCAGGATAGCAAGGTCAAACAGCTTGCTAAAACACTGTGACTTTGAGCATAACTGCTGCAACATCTCTTCCGCCAGAAATTCATTGTCGTAGGTCGATCCAGTAGCGCTTGGGAGACTTGTACCAAGAATAATCACGAGACGCAGAAATTCTTCCAGCATTTGAAGACGTTGTTGCTCATCGATTCCTTGTTCTAGCTCTGCATACCCGAACTCCTTCACCAAATCGTCTGGGCCATTCATGTTGGACCCATTGGGTAGAATGAAATAGCTGCCCAACTGGAATCGATCAACCATACGAGCCACAAGGGCATCCGGACCAGTCATGAGGACACCGAGCTGCAGCATCAGCGTGTCAGCGTCACGGTAGTGAATGCAGTACGGCAACGCCGAGTAATTGTACAGTTGCGCCAGCATGTTTTCATCTCCGTTTCTGCGCCACAAATTCGAGTGGATCTGGGATGCCATCACTAAACAGCGAAGGGGCATTTCCACAAGTTCCCATTTCTTGTCAGCCGACAATTTGTCAAAGCCAAACACCTTCAAAAGGCCGTCCGAGGGAATTGAGCTTCCTAAACCTGCCTGGCTAATGCAAATATGCCGCACTGCCGCGGTCAGGAAGCGGTGCAGAGGGATGTGCAGAGAGGTTGGTTGAGACGCTACATTGAAGTCGTACGCCATGATGCTTTTTTCTCGACCTCCAGCTCCTCTTTTTCCCATAGACGCAAGCTTTGCCACTGGAACCAGCGTCTTTTTCGCCACCCTTTCATTGAGTCGGGCTGACGATGAAAGAGTGGCGTCGATAATCGGGCCAAATATCTCCGCTACTTTCCCTTCCGGTGCTTCAAACTGGGACGGGCTAAATCCATTCCAGGAGATCGCGAATACCGAATGGACACGGATGCCGAGATTGAACATTGACAACCAGCTGTCTGATTCGTATTCCACGTGATTTTGATGAATTCCTCGTCGCACTTGAGCATCGCCGCCCTATGAATAATAACATGGAAAACATATTTAATGGCACAGCTCTATCAAAAAGCCAACAGCTCTGTAACATACCTGCAGGATACCCAAACATGACAGCCAAATCTTCATATTGTCCGCGTTGCACACCAGTTCGTTGGACAACGTGCCGATATTGAAAACGTATTCCATGTTCTCCACGCAATGCTGCAGCAAAAATAAAACGGACAGGGGTTTGAATGTGAGAGTTCAGCAAGACAGTACATGCAGGTCTCTGAAGAAGTAAAGCTTACCTTGTACTTCTGGCTGCTCAAAGCAGGGTGGTCAGCGTTGAGTTTCCCATCCTTTTCATCGACAGCAGACTGGAACACTGTGTTAAGAGCACACAGCAATTCCCGAATCAACTCTAGCCGTTCAGGGTGAGCAGAGGTTTCCTTCTTCGTGTACTTTTGCACCAGATGAGGTACAGTTAAAAACTGCACGGCAAAATCGAAAATGGAATCACTGGAATTGCCCAATCCACGAAGGAACATGCTCGTCATCGAGGAGTACGATCGCAAATATGCCTCCAGCATGCTAGCACGAAACTGGATATCTACCAAGTGTTCGCGCAAAAAGGAGTGCGATTTCTCCACTGCAGTCTTCCGTAGGGTGCAATCGTATCGCATTAGAAGCATCAGAGCTGACAGCGTGTTAGTCGAGGCGCCCGAATTGGTTGTTTGCCCCGACGTGAAATACTTGGCGACCACAGCGTCAAAACTTTTCCGGACACTCTCGTGACGACGATACGAGGAACTCAGCGACACTGCTTTGACAAACTCCTCAATAAATATGTTCTTGCAACTAACGTGATTCCCTTCAGCGAGGAACCCGGTCGACGCCACTGCAGTTGTGTTGCCTTCAACACGAAAATCAAATCGCTGCTGCTGAGCTGCTTCTTCGTCTCGTGCCCACGTGAAGACGTCCTTGTCCCCGGAGATCAAGGCAACGAGCACATCCAACGCATGATTGTGCAGTCGAATGTTATGTTCCTTCACAAATTGCTGAATCGTCTTGCCCTTGGGTAAACTGCCTGATACCGGTAGAAACCCTCTAAGAGCAGATGATCGCTGTTTCTGAAGAGCTTCAGACACGAGCTCGCTGAGTCCATCCGATGTGGTACTCACAGACTGCAGCCACTCCAGAAGAGCGGGGACACCCTCCATTTGTTTCTCCCACCACATAGGAGAGACAGACATATTTAAAGACCGACGCATCAGGTTTCCGACAATGCCAGGACACAACAGCAGCGACTTTGTTGCCACAGTCGCATCGCCTAGATCATCTACTTGGCTGACTGCAGAGCGCGCTTGCGGCTTGGACATGCCTAACTCCACGTACAAATGATTGACCACTTCGTTGACTGAGTGAACGTCGTCATTGTGCAGTCCAATACCAAAGAGCACTCCAGCCTTTGAGTCGTCCTCAGAGCTTGTAGTCTTGTGGTCAGCTTCGTTAGTCTGTGCCTCGAGCCTGCCGCCAGGTCCGATGGCTCTGGATCCAGGATCAGCTGTGAACTGTGCCGAAAGTCTTGTAGACCGAGTCGACTCCGCTGCAGAACTATCTCTACTCGTTCCAAGACCTGCTCTGCTTTCAGTAACATCCGCCACATCTGTATCACTCTGAATCGGCAGGAATTTTGGCGGGATATCTCTTGTAAACAACTCAAAAGCCTCAGCCAACTCAAATCCATAGTGCGTTCCCAGCAACACCTGGTAGATGTGCTCCACTACTGCATCGATTACAATAGGCGCCGTTTGCCCAATATGCTTAGGCAACTTGTGTTTTTTCGCTCCTGTCTCGGCCGTTTCCGCCCCTTTGTGTTTTGAACAGAATCCGCTCTGTTTCCAAGCCTACGCAATATAACAAATTACAAAATGGTCAAAACAAGTAAGGATAAAAACAATTGAATAGTAAAATCCCAATAAACCTACATGGACGTCTCCGCAATCACAGGAGCTGCCTGCGGTTGTTCTCTGGAAGTACACGTCGTGGCCAGCGTGGTCGCTGTGTGTGAAGCAATCCTTGCACATAACGCACGTGGTATCAAGTTGGCAGTTGCGGCAGCTGTAGGCGATCTCGTCCGCCGAGAAGATGGCGCCACACACGCGCTTTCGTTCCGTGCGCGGCAGCTTGGCCAGGATCTGCGTTGGCGCTAGCGTTTTCTCCTTGCCGTGTGCACAGAGCACCGTTAGCAGCGCATTGCAGATACTGTTCATGGATTGGCCCGAGGCCTCCGTAACGCCGCGAGCCAAATTGCTCTGCAAGGCAAAGCGCACGAGTGCCAGAAATTCTTCTTCACGGTGGTGCGCAAGCTTCTGCTGAGGTGTAAGGCGCATGACGTTCGTGGCCCCGGCCTCCTTGGAGGCAGCCACCTTAGCCTTGGCTGTCTTGGGCTTGGCCGTCGCCTTAGCCTTCTTGCCACGGATCGCTACCATCACTCCTCCAAAACGAAGAAAAAAACGGAAGTGAAGAGTCTGAAGAAGCTTTTGGGCTTTGATGACTTGGTTTCATTATCGACAGTAGGAATTCAGGATGTTAAGTCAATACCGTGACAGGCCGAATACAAGCCATTTCTTCGCTGGACCAGAACGCAAACCCTTTTAAGTGCGATTTCGATGGTCGACGACTGTTAAAGATACATTGTACATGTACCAACCTATCCGATGGTACAGCTGAGCGTTGTGGGCGGCGGGTGTTGGCGCAAGGAAGATGGTTGGCCATGGCTGAGGATCAGAGTACAAGATAATGAAGATCCGTATGCGCCCATCCAGGCTACAGGATCTGAGAGTAATGAGGGGGTTACTGTTTCGAGTGGCAGGAGCAACAAAGGCAACTTGGTGTTGGACAAGTGCTTGCTCCGCAAGGGCAAAGGCAACTGGAAGAAGGAGCTTCAGGTGGATCTACGAGGTCACAAGAGTGGAATTATCAGCCTCGAACTTTGGGTGGGTGAATCACAAGCAACAGATTTCCTGCAGTATATCATTGGGTGGAGTGTGGACTTGGACCAGTGGATTCAGTCCGGTGCAGCAAAACGATGGTATGAAATCCAGAAGAACAGCCGCCATAGCTCAAGTATAATGGCGAATCAACCAAAGTACTGGGAAAGCGAGGCGGAGTTGCCAAGCCCGTCAACTCACCTTTGCGTGGGTATAACTGGTGCTGAAGACCCAACGGCTGAGAGCCCGGACGCAGAAAAACCCATGATAGCGAACGCAGCACCTCCACAAAAATCACCTTTTCAGTTTGTTCTCCCCCATCACTCTATCACCAGAAGCGGAAAGCTTCGAACAGCTCGAGTCGGACAAATCGTGCACGAGGTAAATGTTTGTCAGTGGACTCAGTAGTTATTGCTCTAACGTTGTAGCTATCATCGTGGGACAGCTCCGTACCGACACTCTGCGCGACTTGGTGCCTTTAACGCTATACGGTCGCACCAGTACTAGACATCAACGCTCCAGTACTGCTACGTCGGAAGAACCTAAAGACGGGATGACGAAAGCACTGGTTCTGCTGCAGCTCTCGTGCCAGTATGCAAGCTACTGCGTTGACGAGCTAAATCGCTATTCAAGGTAAGTAATGACCCGTAGTACTTCGAAGTGCTGTACGTGTGGTAAAATCGAACTGATCCTTCCTCAATCGTTTCCTTATGGTCATTGGCAGCAAATTACAGAGACGAAGCCTCAATCTCAAGCACAAATCAAGCCGAAGTGAGCATCGTCAGAAACTCCTCAAAGAGCGGAAGGCAAAGCTGCGACGTGAGACTGAAGTCTTAAGCTGCTCGCTGGATGGAATGCACGCGCTACTCGAGGAATTGGATCCACAAACGTTAGCTCGACTACAAGCCGAACGCAGCTTGAACGGGGAGGACATTAAAGATGCCGAAGCCTAGCATCATGGCCCAGTTTGCCACTGAACGAGCAGTATGAACATCATTATAAACACTCAATTACCCCTCCTTTTTTGCCCCTTTAGTACCGGCAGCTGTCTCCGAACGCCGGTGAATCCTCTCTTCTCGGATACGGCGAACACGCTCACGCTTTTCCTCCATCTCTCGCTGATGTACTTTTTCCAGCTGCCGCTTTGAGTTTTCGCGCTGTTTTCGCGCAGATTCACGAATGCGTAGCTCCCGCTTCTTTTTGTCTTCTTTCAGCTTGAGCGCAGCCTCCCTCCTTTTTTCATAAGTTTCGACTTTGCCCTTACTTTTGCTATCACCTGACTGGTCCGCTCTGGATGCTGGTGATTTCCCTGTTTGGTCTGGGCTCGCAGCGACGCTACTCGGTGTAGAGCTTAACGAAATGAGCGGGGGTGGGGGGAAGTGTCCGTGCCCTCTAGCTGGTGTGTTTGGCCTCGGCTTTGGCGTATTTGAACCACTGTGCGAGCGAGAATGCGGTGGCGAAGGTGACGGCGGTCCACTCGAAGCGCTTTCATCTATTTCCGGCACTGGGGCGAGCTCCGTAAAGATATTCTCCGAGGATTCCGCTCGAGGAATCTGTCGCTTGTGCTTCTCTTCGCGTAATTTAGCCGCCTCTATCTGCAACGCGTGCACCTTGCGTAACCTTGCCTCCTCACACTCGCCCATATGCTGTTCCTGTATATCAAGCTTTTCCATTTCCTGATCTGGTTCGTGTTCGTGTTCCTGTTCCTTTTCCTGTTCAGGTTCTGGCCAATCTGTAGTGGTTTCCAGCTGTGGCATCTTTTCCTCCACCAACTCAGCCATGCGAGCAGTAGCATCCCCGCTGCTGCTATCCTCGCCTGCACTTGAGTTGCTCACTGTGTGCTCCTCCTCGCCACTCTCCTGGATCTTCATCTAGATGAAAGAACAGTCAGCAAATCAACACAATGCATCGCTCGGTGATACACACCTGCTCGGCAACTCGATGAAGCTTTTCTGCCACATCGCCCGGTAGGAAAATATACTCTCCGTCAATCTGCATGTTGTTATAGGCCTCCAAGATCAAGTCCTCCAGCGTATCGACCATTTCGTCGGCCTCCTCATCGCTCTCGGCTGGGGGCATATCTGAAGTGGCAACGATCACGAATGGCTCACTACACGGTGCAGTAAGTTGTGAAGCTTCACTCGGTTGCGTCTGTATACCTGGAGCAGCCGCTGCAGCGCCAGTCTCGGCATCGATTCCGTCCGCCATCGCTCCGACACTCGGAATAACAGAAGGTATTGCAGCATGGCATCCCCACGGCACCAGACCCCTTAAAACATAATAAATGCATCTATTCACTTTAAAAAATGGCTTCAAATCGCTAAATTCATACGGCCGCTTCTGCTTGAGCTTTTTCGAGCCGCATTTCGGTTAGTTCATCAACGGAGGCTGACGCCGCTGGCCGCTGTGAAGACCCGCCAAAAACTGGTTGCATGTAGGTGGTGTCAAAAGCTTGCCAGTTGCGGAAGAACGCACCGGTCAATGAATCGCCACGAGATCTCTCAGCAACGGGCGAATCAAGGTTCGGATCATCCTCGTCGTCACTTTCAACATCATGAAACTGTGGACGCGGAGTCAGGATCGGGATCTCGTCTCCGGTACCATCACGATTCTCTTTGGGTTGTTCTTCCTCCGGGAACGCTAAGGCACCACCATCAGCGTGGCGAGTGCTGCGCTGAACTAGCTGTGACACTGTGTCCTCAGACTCTGACGCAGTTGCAGAGCTCCTAACAGTGTCAGACTGGTCGAGGTGACTGTGATCTTTGTATTTGCCGGTGAGATGCAGGTTCATAAGCAACGGTCCCATTATACCGCCGATTACGATTGTAGTGATCAGGATCACCACAAGAGTTGTGGACTCAATTAGTCGGCGGTGTGACGCTCCATGAAGACCAACATAATTCCAATTCTTGGCCAGAGCGAAGGCCATAGAACCACGAAGACCTGCCATCCAAATGACACTCATGAACTTAACCGGGATTCGGTTCGGCGGAGACCGCAGCCAGTTGCAGAGACTTAGAAGCGGAAAAATATTGCAGAACCGAGCGGTTATGCAGGCCACAAGCGTCAGCCCAATGAAAGACCAATCGATATCGTCCACGCGAAGTGAAGCACCGGCATTCTCCTCACCGTGACCCGCGAAAATCATAACTACTGATGTACCCATGAACACGTACACAATATTTTCGCAAACAAATGCCAACGTATGCAGCAGGTGCGTAAAGGCATGCTGCGCCTCCCTCGACAACGTGTTGAAGTGGTAGTGCGCCGTCATGGTACCCGAGAAGAACAGTGCTACAATACCACTGAGCTTTAAACTGTCCGCCACGAAGTACGTTAGCAAGCTGAAAATCAAACACAGCGAGATCTCATAACTTGGGTAGTAGCGCAGGGTCGCGAAGAACTTGCGTTTAAGGAGAAAAGCTCCGGCTAGCGTAATAAGCGTGCTCACGATCAAAGACCCCACAAACATCCCGCCAGTGTTTAGCGCCACACGAAGCAGTTGCTTGGCACTGAAGTTACTATCCGGTTCCCACTTGTGCAGTGTCTGGTACAACGCAATCGCGACGGCATCGTTCATTACACTCTCTCCGAATACGAGGTTAAACAGTAGCGGTGGCACGTTGAGTTTATCAAAACAGCTCAGCGTTGCCACCGTGTCCACAGCACTGATCAGTGTACCAAATAAGAAGGCCTCCACCCACGACAGTTTGGTCACGATACCAGCAGTGCCTGCGAGGTACAGTACGCCGCCCGTAATTGTCGTGGCGATGACTGTGCCCAGCACGGCTGTGCTCATGATAGCCGGGAAATTCCGGAAGAAGACCGCACATTTGAGCGAGAAACCTCCTTCGTAGATGATCGGTGGCAGCAGCACATTGAAGAAAAGACTGTTGTCCAGGTTCAGGTGTGTGTGAAGCGCCGCATGCTTGCCTCCCATGATCATGAAGAGACCCACGAAGAGCCCAAACATGAGCGCGAAACTACTCTGAGATAAAACCATACATGAGTAGCGCCCCAGCATGTATGAAGCCATCACCAGCACGAACAGCATCAGCAGCAGCAGCACCGCGTCCTCCATGGTGATTATTTGTCTAACGTTTTAACCCTTGTTTGGGTGGGATTTTGGCTCTTAGTCTCTGACTTCTTCGATTGGCCGTCGCGGTATGCGACATGCTCATCTAGTCAGCAAAACTGGTCTGATTTGCTGAATTAAAGCACCTGAATTCAGTATGCATAATATATGTGTTTTACACCAACAAGCGAGAAGGTTGAAGTTGTTCCATCTCAGACAGCGCTTGGCGTCTGCATCTTGTCAGCCTCCGAATCGGTTGCCTCGTCGACTGGTAATGGGTTTGCAGGGGATCGATGACCACCGAACATTGGTTGCATGTAAGTCGTGTCAAAGGTCTGCCAATTGCGAATGAACGCGCCAGTCAGAGTCTCGGTACGGTGAGTCGTTGAGTCTCCGTTACGCTCGCCCTCGTCATCACTGTAGTCCTCGTCTCGGAACTGCGGTCGTGATGTGAACACGGGGTGTGCTTCCACCTCAGTCTCTTGCTCTCGCGTAGTAGTTTCCTCTGAAGGCCTTTGCGTGGTGTGCGCTTCTGGGGTCCTGGAATTCCGACGAAGCATGAAGTGACGAGTGCTGCGCTGCAACACTCGAGCACGATCCACCTCAGAGCTCGGTTCTCCATCAGCGTTCGGCTCAGGGTCAGATTGCCTCAATGCACTGTGGTGGTTGGTGAGACGAAGCTTGGAGAGGAGCGGGCCAGTAAGACCACCGATCACGATCGTGGTAAAGAGCACCACCACGAGAGTAGTAGATTCTACGAGGTGGCGATGGGAACCATAGCGACCAATGTAGTTCCAGTTCTTAGCGAGTGCAAATGCGATGGATCCACGAAGAGCAACGAACCACATCACGCTCATGTACTTGATTGGAATACGGTCGGAAGACTCCCGCGACCAATTGGAAAGCTTTAGAAGTGGGAAGACGTTGAAAAAGCGAGCCACTACGCATGCCACAAGCGTCAGACCAATGAAGTGCCAGTCGATATCATCTACCCGAAGAGCAGCACCCAAACTCTTCTCTGGATGACCGGAGAAAATCATTATCACCGACGTGCCCATGAATACATACACAACGTTCTCACACACAAACGAAATCGTGTGGAGCAAATGCGTAAATGCATGTCGAGCTTCACGTGACAACGCGTTGAAATGGTAGTGAGCGGTCATGGTTCCTGAGAAGAACAGCGCAACGATACCGCTCAGCTTTAGACTGTCAGCCACGTAATACGTCAGCAGACTAAAGATCAAACACAGACAGATCTCGTAGCTGGGGAAGAAATGTAACGACGAGAAAACCTTGCGCTTGAGCAGGAAGGCACCTGAAAGTGTGATCGCTGCACTCACAAGCAGCGACCCCAAGAACATCCAACTTGTGTTGACAACCACCCGCAGCAATTGCTTCCAGCTCAAATCAGTGCCGACGTCCCACTTGTGTAGCGTCTGGTACAGCGCAATTGCTACAGCATTGTTGATCACGCTCTCTCCAAAAACTAGGTTGAACAGGAGCGGTGGGACGTGGAGCTTATTAAAGCACGATAACGTAGCCACCGGGTCCACAGCATTAATCAGCGTACCAAAAAGCAGAGCCTCCACCCACGAGAGTCTCGTAACTAACTTCGATGCACCAGCGAGGTAAAGCACGCCGCCCGTAATAGTCGCAGCAATGACTGTGCCAACAACTGCCGTGCTCATGATAGCCGGGAAGTTCCGGAAGAATGCCTGTCGCTTGATAGAGAAGCCTCCTTCATAGATGATCGGTGGCATCAACACATTGAAGAAAAGACTGTTGTCCAGGTTCAGGTGTGTGTGTAGCGCCGCATGCTTGCCTCCCATGATCATGAAGAGACCCACGAAGAGCCCAAACAGGAGCGCGAAGCTGCTCTGGCTTAGAACCATACACGAGTAACGGTCCAGTACAAACGACGCCACTACCAGCACAAACAGCATGAGCAGCAACAGCACTGCATCCTCCATCGTGTCGGTTTCGTCATCAAGCTCGTGCTGCATTTTGAATAATTATGGGAAATGCGGTGCATGCACACAGGAAGCCGGAGCTACTATTACTAGTACTACAGTAGTACTATTTATCGACAAATCGTAGAAAGTTAGCGGTAAAATTAACCGGTTTGTATTTTTGGTATGTCTGTAGACGAAAGCCACGTCACTCTGCATTTTCGCATTTTTAGCGGTGTTCGAGCCTCGGGGCGCGTCGAATGCGGGCGCCTCCCTTCTTAAAGCGCAGTACACCCATTACAGCAGCCGCAATGCTGCAACCAAACCTATGCATACGTTGGTTGAGCAGGGTGGTATCGCATACAATCTGATCCAGACTAGTTCCTTACCAGGTCGCGGCGTATCCAGCATGCTTCTCAGGAGTCATGTAGAATTCCAGGTAAGAGGCAATATTCTTTCGGAGGGGGTTGCCCAGCGCGATTTCTCCAGTCTCGCCGTCAACCGCTGAGAGTACATCACATTTCGTTAAATGTGTGGAGTAAAGGCTCAGAGCAGCTTTAAACCTACCAAGGGCATCAACAATGACAGGCAAATCGGCTGAAGTAACGCCCATGGCATCTGCCATCTCTTCGTGGTCCAAGTAGAAGAATTGGCGATTCTCGGGATCGTTGTCAGGTGTAAAATTGTTTTTCTACATCCATGACGTGAGAACCGCGACTTTAGTCCGCCAATGAAAATACCCGTACGTACCACTTCACCGTGGCGAAGCACACCAACGAAAGACATTTTGCCATCTTCCTCCTTCTCATCACGTGCCATGTGCACGTCAAGGAGCTTGCGCGGTAGCCAACCTCGGTTCACGATCACCGATGTTCTATTCAACGTGGCAAGCTAGTATGAGCTTTGAATTCACACACACGCATCCCAAAATATTAAACTTCCTACCCATCTTCACGCTGTAACAGAGAATAAATGTAGCCGCCGGACTTTACCCTGGCCACTGAATCACTCGGGTCCGCAGGTGCCGAACGAGGATCTGCGAAGCCAATCACAACGTAAGATTAATATCCAATCAAGTCCACAACATCAGCGAACCTGACTCCTTACACAAGTAGAAGGTGCTTCCATGCTTGAAGTTACCCTCCAGATGAAGCTGTCGATACTCAATGTCGTCACTGCCTCAAACCGACCCAAATGCCAGAACTCGTGAGTTTAATGAACAATTTCAACACAATGCCAATGGCGTTCCATTCATCTCACATGTCACCGCTTGCTGTTGCGTCCTTAGGCAGCTCTCCAACAGACTCAGACAGCTCCTTTGTGCGCTCATTGATCAGATCCACTTTCCAGTAGTAGCGCTCGGTCTGCAGTTCAAATCCATGAAAGAACCGAGCCTTCAGCACTATTATAACAGCCACCATACCAAATACCATACCTGCCATGTACCAAGATAGGCGGTCGTCACGGCCTAACACCGAAAAGGCAATACCAGTAGAGTCGATAATTCAGAATAATAATTCTGAACCCCAATCGAAACGTGTGAACGCACCACAGCGCCAAAGAATGCCATGCCAGCATATCGGGAAAAATTGCTTTCACTACCGCTTGAACCTTCGGGCTTGGTCTGCGACACAGATGCCGTGAAGCGTCTCGAGCTCGCCGATAAACGCGGCACAGTACGCAGCACTTGTCGCCCTAGCATTCTCCAACTCTAAAAACAGAGGAGCTTTTATAAAACGACCAATAGTCATGTGTGCTTCTCTTTTTCAGCCAATCGGTATTGCGGTGATGCCAATCATACACTCGACCAACAACGCCAATATGGCCGAAGGACACGTGCTGGGCAACTTCCATGCGTACTACAGCTTCAACCCGGTACACGAGCGCTTGCGATTCATGGACGTCCAGACGGCCAATGCCCTGAGACGCACGCTGCTCGTGAAGAAATCAGCTGATGCTATGAGCGAAGCGACGTGTACAGTGCTGGACGTTGGCTGCAATGAAGGGGACCTGACCATCGGCCTCTACGACGCATTGAACGGACGTGCAACGCTTGTCGATGCCAACCAGATCGACGATGTGGCCAATTTTGACCTCAACAACATCAGTACGCTCAATGAACTCATACAAAAGGACAAAAAGCAGGTGGAATACTTGATTCAGGACCAGGGCGAAACCAGTCACCGCCGACGCTATGTGTGCAAGCTGCAGATTGACGGCAAGAGGATGGGTTATGGAGAAGGCGTGTCGAAAAAAGTAGCCAAGGCCAAAGCAGCCGAAGTTGCTCTGCGCACATTGGATGTTACGGACGGCAAGAAACTCGAAAAGGATATTTCTGCCGGTGAAAAGTCTGTCCCCGAACAATTTCCACTAACGAAAGAGGAACTGGCGGTGAGAAAGCCGCTTATGGCTCTCGGTGTGGATATTGACGAGGTGCTGATTGAACGCGCTGCTAAAAAGTCGGTGCAGCTAACAGAGGGGGATGCAGTGCAGTTCCGCCACGTTGATGCTATGACCAACAAGTTTAGCAAGGAAATCGCACCTTTCTTGGAGCTGGCGCAGCGCGCGCCAGCGGAACGTAAGTTCGACCTTATCACTTGCTTTAGCGTGACGATGTGGATTCATTTGAATAACGGAGACGACGGACTTTGGAAGTTCCTCGAGACGGTCAGTGACATGACCGAGCATCTTATCATCGAGCCGCAGACGTGGAAATGCTATCGGTAGGTGACAGGGTATGGGGTATATGCTTTGCAAGGTTGTACACGCTGCTAATTTGTCATTATGTTTTTTTAATGTGATGTATAGCAACGCGCAGAAGCGATTGACTCGCATGCGCGTCGACGTGCCCCAGTCATTCCGTGAGATCAAGGTGCGCACGGACGTCGTGGAGAAGATAGATGCATTTCTACTTGCTGCAGGCCGGTTCCGCTACAAGGCTCAGTTGGGCAAGACTAACTGGTCGCGAAATGTCGTGCTCTACAGCCGCAAGACTGTGGCCGGGATCAAATACGCCTCATGAGGAACTTTCAGAGGTCGGCTTTTTACGCAGGATGGCAATGAAGCCTTCGTAACCAGCGTGTATATATCTCATCCGACCGATTTCTCACCAGTGGTCAGATTCGACGGCTTTGTTTTGCATTAAGGTAAGCAGCAAGCCTGCTCATTTCCGAACTAGGTGAAATGGTAGAAGTGCCAAATTCCGGCGATGTTGTGTACGCTCTAGCCACGGTGCTGGCCGTGGTGTTTGTCGTCCGTATTCGCCGTATGTACTCGATCTTGTGGCCGTTATCGCATGGCACTGGGACTTGCGATTACTTACTTGTTACAAAATTTCGGTCACTCCGCCTTCGACAGTTTGCTGTTGACAGCTACCGCATCTCCTGGGACCTGCCAATTTTTTGACGAAGCCTCATAAATGTAGCAGGAAGTTACATGTACACTTGTATTAATGCTACTACAAGTAGTACATGTGAGTCCATACGGCGCGTGAAATGATCGCGAGCCATGGCGCTGCAATTGACTCTAACGAAATGTATGTGTTGTATGCTTGGCGCTATTCGTAATGCTTCTTGGTGCTGTTGGGGTAACTCTGCTCTCTGATCGCCAACGTTGTCTACCACTTCTCGCCGGCACGTCCACTACAATTTAGGGCGGTGGCAAGTACCTCCATGCCCCTAACAGTACCGCTGGGCTGCATGCTTGCTTACCCAGTGTAGTGCCGTGCCGGACCTGCGGTTTTCAGAAGGCTGCGCCATTGTTCATCATTTAACATTTAGAATTTGAGCAAGAAATCTACGTCTTGAAAAATTCAAGATTCACGGCGAATCGCTTCCTTCACCATAGATGGAGCCCCTGAACGTGCAGCAAGAACAAGAGGCTGTTGGACTCTGAGGGTAATGTATCCGGTAAGATCCCGCGGTTTAATCGCCTGGAAGCATTCAAATTTTGCTGCGAGATCTATTTTGTTAGCTGACAACATCAGCGTTTGAAACCGTTACATATGTACATAATATGTCATACCGGTATTATGATGCGTAAGGTGTCAAAAGTCGCAATACCACATAAAGCAGGCGCATTTGGCATTGTGTTTACAGTTTGGTGTACTCTTTGTTTTTCAAACACGTATTATCCGAGGTTATTTTAAAAATAAGTTTGTAAATAGGCTATTTATTTAGTACTGTTTTCTCAAAGTTGATAAAACGCAAGTGCAATATACAGTATGACAGTGGTAAAGTAGGCGCGTCCTAATCTCGAATCATCATGGCGGAGCAAATATCGGTAGTGCAACTTTCGGTCTCGCCACTTGTCTAAAAAATTGGAATGGAGCGTCATTTTCGATCTGATCATTGTCCTGCGTAGCGCCATGGACGCCACTGAGCTGTTTAGTGTGGCACACGACACGCTGACCCGCACGGTGCTGCGAGTGCGTAACGGCGAGCAGCGCGCGGCCTCAGCAACGCTGCTGAGCCCAGATGTTGTCCAGGCCGTGGTGTTGCTGCTCGCCATGACGCTGTTGCCCGTGTTGGTACGCGTGCGGATCCTCTACACATTCTGCTGGGTAGGTTTCACCGTGTTGGCGCACGTTACCGAGTCGGAAGCAGCGCTGGGCATGGCCACGTCACTAGGTCTCACCATCATGATGGGATGGTACTCGCTGCGCATGCTCGACCGCACCACGTTCATGGGCATCCTGCAAGGCTGGTTCGGATTCCTGAGTAAGTACTGGCCACTCCGACTCCTGGCCAACTCCGTCGACCTTCTGCTGCACATGGGTGTACCGCTTACTCTAGCTTTCTGCTACTTGCCGCTGGTACGGATCTGGATGACACTCCCAATCTTAATGTACGTCGTGTTAGCTTTGTGGTCTGAGAGCTGTGCGTTTATACCTTTCTGACTGTTTTGCATACAGCTTCTCTCAACTCTGGATTAAGCTGGTCGCTGATGGAGACCTTTGTCTTTCTGGCAACGACGTTTACCACATCTATCCTCCTCGCCCGAAGTCGTTCTGGCTGGCGGCTCGGAAGATCGAGCTCATCTACAACTTTACCGTGCCGACATTTTGTGTGCTCGCCTACCAAGCAGGCTTTCACGAGTTTGTCGTCAACTGCTTGCTCAAACCGAGCTTGTAAATCTTGCAGCCTTCACCTCGCCAGAAGCTAGACAGTACATATGAGTCCCCCATAAATTTTATACCTGTACAAAAGAATCGCTGAGATCATGAGTGTTCTGGTAAAGCTCACTTCGTTCAGGCAGCGATGCGGCGTAAATGAAGTACCGGTACAGTAGTAACTACAGATACATGTATCGTGCAGTCATCATTCGAACAGTTAAAATGATATCCTTAGGTAGCCGGTCAGCACAGTGTGTAAAACCGGTGAATCTTTGGATATCGACATTGCACTAATCTGGTGATGCCACTTTCGACAAAGAGTTCTGATGGACACACTGTTGGGTTGGGGGACGCTAAGCCGCGCCAACCACGACACCGTACAGGTAGACAGTCAAATGGATGCCGCGCTGGATGTCGCGTTGCTCTTCAGCGTTGTGATGCTGCCCCCACTTGTGAGAATTCGCACTATGTACACCAACTGCTGGTTTGTCTTCACCTTGATCGCACATCTACTGGCATCCGAGGCAGCACTGGGTATTGCCACATCCATGGGCATCACTATCATGGTAGGCTGGTACTCTTTGCGCGTGTTTGACCGGTACGCGTTCACGGCCATCCTTAACGGCTGGCTCGGAGTCTGGGCCAGCTCACCATTGCTCGGCTTCGCGGCGCGTGTCGGTGACATCATGCTACACCTGCTCGTGCCGATGCTGCTAGTCTCGTGCTACCTCCCTCTCGTCCGCGTGTGGATGAGTGTGCCTGCGTTAATGTAGGATATTTTTCGACGCTCCTGACTTCGTGTTGAGCTCTGGTGCTGACAGATTTCTGTTTTGAAACGTGTATTGAGCAGATCATCGCGACTTTGGAGCCATTTTGTAGTGGGCGGCGGGGTTTTTCCCAAGGCTGATCACATCTACCGCTTCTCGCCACCGCGCTCACAGCGCTTTTGGAACGCAGCGTACAAGATGGAGCTCCTGCTAAACCTGCTCGTCCCGCTCTTCTGCGTCCTGGCACATCAGGTATTAAACTGAAATGTACATACCTCACGCTTGCGCTTTCTGCTCAGATAAGTAGACACCATTGTTGTGTCTTAAGTTCTGGGTACGCGTCTAAAGTCCCGTTCTAATATCATAGTTGTGCGCTTTATGGTATTTGGTGTTGATGCTGCGGCAGAGATCGTTTTGGGTGTATGTCGCTACGGCGATCGCAGGGGCAATTCTGTTTTGCCTTCAGCTGATCCGCTCGCTGTCGTTGCCTAGATTGCGTCGGAACGCGAAGACGATCATGTGCCGTTTACTGTCCAGCGGTGGTATTAGACCCAATGTGGTAGGTGTTCATTTCTGTCTTAGCAAGTTGATTATTACTTACTCATGGTGCAGGACTTCATTGTCCGAGATGACTCTTTTTGGCTGGATTGGATGAGCGAGGGGCTTGTAGCAATTGGCGAATCTTACGTTGGCTGTCTGTGGGCGACAAACTCCGCTCGAACTTTGGACGAAGTGGTCGCTAGCCTGCTTACCATTCCGATGGAGGGCAGACAAGAGATGTACCGATCCTGGAGCGCTCGTTTTGTGGCACTGGCAGCGAGGCTGTTCAACTATCCTCCGTCTTCAATGGGGCTCGTTGTTGGTGCAGTCTCGGAGCAGTTTGATCTCTGTCCCGAATTCCGACAGGCGTACATGGACCGGTACTTCCATCAAGGCTTTGGTATTTGGTCAGCAGGGACAACAACCATCGACGCTGCACAAACCAACAAGCTTGCCAATTTGGACCAGCAGCTAGACATTCAGGTAGGCGCATGATCAATTGGCTTTTTGGTCGTCTAAGCTCATCTCTTACTTTCTTTAGACTGGCCAAACCGTCTTGGACATCAGCATCGGGTCGTGGGGAGGGGTGGGCTGCTTCCTCGCTCAGCAGCACCCTGATGTTACCGTAGTATCCGTGCTGTCGTCGGTCCAAGAGCTCGCACGCGCCAAGAAATTCGCCCGTGAACTTGAAGTCTTTGATCAAACGGAGTTCGTGCTCGCTGAGACGCCTGAAAAGCTACTTACACTTTTGAGTGGCTTCCGTGCTTCAATGTTTGACCGCATCACGCTGTGTGGTGTAATGGAAACCATACCAGATGTGCAGCGAACTCGATTCCTGCGAACACTGAAGCGCATCCAGACCGCGAATGGAACGACGGTGCTTGAGTTTAGCGCCTGCACAGCCGCGCACATGGCGACTCACGCTTGGACCAACAAATACGTACACACCGCGTACCCTTGCTACGCCATTACTCTGCCGTTTATGCGTCGATTAGCTGGCGAGACGGGCTTCACACTTCGAGACACGCTTGGCTACTCGGATCACTACAAACGCACGTTCCTCGAGTGGAACCGTCGATTCCAAGCACAATGGGGTCACGACTCAGCACCTAATAGAGTTGGCCAAGCCCTGACAATGGTCCAAATGACTCAATTGCAGCACATGCCGTCGCTGCCCGAGTCCTTTAAACGCACATGGGGGTTCTACCTGTTGCATTGTGCTGCTTGCTATCAGTCTGGTGCTCTGCAAGTGTTCCAGATCAGAATGGGTTAAACTACAGAATTAGGATTAAACAAATCTAAATTTGTCCAGAAAAAACATTTTAGAAGATCTAAATTAAAACGTTCGAGTATGACAACCACGAGCGAAGGGTCTGACGAGGACGCGGAGTGGGAAAAGCACGTGGATGAGGCCACCGGATCCATGGACTACTACAATGCCCGCACAGACGAGTCCTCGTGGGAGGTCCCTGCCGGCTTTAATTCTCCGCAGAAGGAAGATGCGAGCCAGGATAAGGCCCCAAAGTGGCTCGAGTTCGTGGACGATGAGTCTGGAGCCACCTACTATTTCGACAAGATGAGCGGCACCAGCCGATGGGACAAACCAGATGACTTCATACCAGAACAAGAAAGTAGAGATCAGGAGAAATATAAAAAAACTGAGAAGCAGGAAGAGGAGTCCGAAGCACCAGAGCAGGAACCTCAAGAGGAGAAGGAAGAGGAATCTACAGGTGACAATGATGGAAGTGATGAAAAGAAGACAAAGGATGCTTTGGAGGATAATGCTGCTGATGCTAAGGCCCAACATTGGGTCAAGTACGTGGACGCTGCGAGTAACAAGCCATACTTCCACGATGCCAGCACAGGGAAGACGCAGTGGGAGGAACCCGAGGACTTTGAAGAGCCAGCAACCCCCGTGGGTACCCAGGTCTCCGCTGAGTATCATGCTCATCTTAAACGAATGCAGACGGAACACTTGGCTCGAGTGACCCAGCAAGTACTGGACCCTTCAGGCAACCTCAGCAAGCTTAATGCCATTTTGAGCGGCATTGATAGTAGCGCTCCTTCTACGACGGCTATTGTTGATGGAGAGGGCGATGCTGCTACCACGCGAACAGCAAAAGCGGCGTGGCAGCAACATGTCGACGCGCAGACGCAGCGATACTACTACCACAATGTGGTTACAGGGGTGACCCAGTGGAACAAGCCCAATGCACCAGTTGTCTCGGGGGTACGCTCAATCATTTTACTTAACAGTGTTTGGTGCGCTTATACTGTTTGTGCGTGCTCACTATTATATATAGTTGGCGAAGTGGATACCTCCTGAAGTTCCTGAGTTAGATTCGAGTGGCCCAAGTCAGAAGACAGTTTCTGGCGTGAACTACGTCGCACAGGCGAAGTTTAATCGGCTTACCGGCAAATACGAGCAACTCGGGGGTGATGAATATTGGCAAAGCGCAGGAATGGCATCCGATCGTGCTGGGCGGCAAATGAGCCACTTCTTCGACATGAGTGAGCTAGAGAAAAACCGCGAGGAAGCACGACGCAGGAAGGAGCAGTTGAAGCGCAAAAACATCGACTGGAAGAAAATAACAGCCGAGAAAAAAGCTAAGAAGCAGAAGCAGAGGAACGAGTGGCTTTACACTGATTAACAATGAAAATGTCCTGAAAAGCTAACGTTGTTGCAAGCACTACTTGTAATTAATCCGTTCATACCGGTATTCCCAGTCATATTGTTTTAAGGTGGAGATGCTTCTAGTACGAAGCATTCAGTTTTGCTGCTGTACTATAGTTCGAAGTATATAAGTATTTGAGGTACTACCATACCGGTAAAAATCGAAAAAATGTTCACAATATCGATTACAAACAATTCGGCACCTCGAAGCATACTTTTGTTAGCAATTATCCAGGAAGTACAGAACGGTTCTTTGCTTAAGCAATTGCTCTATAGGCCCGGATACAGGCCAAGGAAACCAGGAGTTTGCTCACCCTTCACTTCACCGAAGTACAGTGAAAATGTCTGGTGCCACTGCTCCACACTCGCACGGTCCGCCATGAACTTTGGGAACTCATCCACATTAGCCTGGCGAATCTCCCAGGGGTGGCTTGAACCGCTGTTTGGTGTCAGGTCCACACGAACGTTCTCGGGCAGGATTGTCTTCTGCACCTCCTCCGAGATGGCCCAGTTCATGAAGAGCTTTGCGGCTGCTGGGTACTTGGCCTTACTCAAGATGGCGATGCCCTGACCCCATGCCAGATATTCGTTGCCGCCGTCCGTAACAAACGTGACGTTGGGTGTACCCTGCGAGTAAGTGCCGACACCGATGACTTTGTCCTTGGCCGTAACGAGATCGCTGGCCGTATTGGAACCGCGGCGGAACGTGACATTCTGGTTGGCGAAGTCCTCGACCCAATTCCAGCCGTACTTCTCCACATAACGTGCGTACAGGAAGAGTACGGCATCGTCGTCGTTAGGGTAGGTCGAGGCGATCTTGCCGCCCCACTGCGGATCCACGAGGTCAGCGGGTGACTTGGGCGCTGCGAGACCACCCAGCGAAGTTTCGTCGTACAGGAAGCTGAAGGTGAACATCATGTAGGCCATGTAGGCGCCACGTTGGTCCCGGAAGCCATCGTAGATTTGCGAGAAGTTGGCGGGCTTGTATTCCAGCAGCTTGCCCTCTTGTGCCGAGCGAGGGAAGTCCTGCAGTGTCTGCAACGCCACAATATCAGGCACCAGCTTGTCGTTTTCGAGCTGGTTGTCGATGCGTACGTTGTGGTACTTGCTGTAGTCGACAATAAGCGTGAATTTGATTTTCGGGAAGACCTTGATGAAGGCATCATGCAACGCGTCTTGCTGCGACGAGAAGTCCCCGCCGTGGTATAAGACGAGGTTGCCTCCTTCGGCGATGGCGTCGGCATAGAGCTCGTCGAGGGTCTTGGTCTCTTCCTGAACGGCGAGACTAGTGGACGCAAGCAGCGCATAACAGGCAGTGGCAAGTTGTGCAAATAGCTTCATGGCAAAAAGATTTGTAAAAGTTTAGCTGGTGACTTGAGCGGATGCCTGTAAATCGGAGAATGAGGATAGCAGCAGACAGAATTCGCGAAAGGGGTCAGTCAGCTCAATTTACATGCTGGATCACGTCGCAGTTCAGTGTAGTGATTACTAGAAGTAATTAGTAAACTTCGATGCAATTATGTATGGGTGTGCTAGCTCGAAAAGTCCCATGCAGCTTCAGCTGAAGTAACTACAGTGGGACAAAGATGGGGCGATACTGATAACGTGGCACAAGCTTGCGTATCGAGATGATTGCGCAGGCAAGACGGTAATCATTGATTATGCGCGTTTGCCGACCAAAAAAAACCTTTATTATAAGGGCCATCATAAAAAATGCTTGGCTTTCGCACTACAGAAGATAAGGATGAGTTTGGTACAAGTACACGCTTTGCGAGGTTTTTGGAAGACCATTATTATCTCTTTTTCGTCGGAAAGGCTACTGGTTTCTTCGTCTTGGTCAGAATGCATTGCAGCATGTTACCAGTACCACCTTCAAGCAGTGCAGTGAACGATTCTTCGTAGATGGAGTCGTGAGAGACAATTGATCATTAGGGGCAAAAGTACTATAAAGGGAGGGGGGTGTTTAAGGGAGGGGCACAATTATAGGTTGTACAGTACTGTAGTTTTAGGGTGACACCGGGCAGCGAGTACAAATAGAATGCATCGGCTTGTGGAGAGTTTGATTTTTACAAATAAAAGCAACCGATTTCTGGATACCGGCAAGCAAAAGGATGTCCAGCTGTCAGCTGGCAAAAGCTCTGTATTTCGTAGATTTAATCCCCATAAATACATGGAGCGATGTATTTCCTTAAGCTCACAGACCTGGGTGAAGACCAAGGATGCCCGGCGTAGGATCGCCCTGCACTTAACCAAAGTACAGAGCGAACGTCTGCTTCCATTGTTCAACTTTGGCGCGGTCCTCCATAAACTCCGGAAAAGCTGCCATGTTGGCTTCCGGGATGTTCCAAGGGTGAGTGGTGTTGATGTCAGCACGCACCGTCATCGAAATCAGCGTTTCTTGCACCTCCTTCGACACGGCCCAGTTCATGAACAGTTTTGCTGCAGCAGGGTGCTTGGCCATCGAGAGAATGCCAACGCGTTGCCCCCAGCTCAGGTAATCCGTACCATTGGCTCCAACGAACGTAACCGGATCGGCGCGGTCACTGGTCCCAACACCGATAACCTTCTCCCTGTGGTAAGTTCCGCTGAATGCTTGTTGCTTGCGAGGTAAATGCAATTGTGAGTTTATACGAACTGACCTATTGTCCTTCTTGTCTTCTAGTGCTATGCCGTACGTATTGACTGGCCCTGAGCGCTCGGCGCCAGGCTGAAGTCCTCACCATGGTTGTGGTTGTCTTCTGAATACCTGATAGCCTCGAAGATGTAATCCAGGCTGTGCTTCAGCCTACACTGCCTCCCAAGACGACAACCACTTCCGAAGAATGTAGATGTATACATGTAGTCTGGACCCGAATAAAAGACCGTTTAAAATCCAATAGAAAGTACCGCCTGACAGAAATCTGTCACCACGCGAGGAGAGACAGGCCATTTCTGAGACGAGGCGACGTTACCAGTCAAGTTGCACTTCAACACGTTGAAGTTGGTCCGTAGCGTTACCAGGTAGCCGATTTAGTTGGATCCAGCATGCACGAGTGTAGCGTAGGCACGTACAAGCACATTGTCACCACAGGAACGAACATTTTCACCCACACGTGACGGAACGTCCTTTTGTAGCGCTTCCAGAGACTCCCACGAGTCTTCTTCGTCCTGTAGACCCTCCCAGGCTGCCATACGCCTCTGTTCTTCCGGTGTTCTTTCAAACTCTCAACCACAAGTAGCATACCTTGGTTGCCTACATGAGCTAGTAGTTCTTCACTTACTTCCAAACTTGAGTCAGCGTAGAACTTAAGACGCGATCCATGCACGACGTAACGTTTGTTCGTCACGAGGTGACGGATCGTGAAGGAGTGGGGGGCCGTCTCCACGACTTCAAATGGCCCTACCCAACGTGCTAACAGTTTATCCACCTCAATCCTTGAGTCGATGCGTGACCATAGCACAAAATCGCCCACGCTGAAGTTGCACTCAGTCCCCTTGAACCGAGCCATATTCTGAAGGCGACGCTTCTCACGTCGATCCAGAACCTCCTTGTGCAAACCGGCCAAACTGGTCCGCAGATGGTCCAGGCGTTCTGCAGGCAACGCCGAAGTCTCCAACACTTCAACTTGCTGACCTCGTTCCAGTAGGATAGGCTCAAATGGAGTCGGGCGTGGCAGTCCCGTAAACAGTTCACTCGGGGCTTTGTCGCCGAGCGACCGCACAGGAGTATGGTTGAGATTTCCCTGCACGAGAGGCAAGATGTAGACCCACTCATGAGTGTCTAGAGTGTACTCCATCAATAACACGCGTAGAACTTGGAGTACGTCGCGGTTTAGACGTTCAGCCGCTCCATTAATCCATGGTGCATATGCCACGACAAAGTTCTGTTCAATGTCTAATTTCTTGCAAATCATAGCAATCAGCTCGCTCTTGAAGTGGCTGCCCTGGTCTGACATCAACACCGATGGAGCACCAAAACGTTTCCACCAATCGACTAAAGCTGTAGCCGCCACCACACTTGTAGGTGAATCACAGGCCACCAGTTCGCAAAAGTGGGTGAGATTGTCCTTCAGTACAAGAACGTACTTACACGCACCCATGCTGTCCCCGAGAAAGAGAAAATCGAAGTGTTGTAGTTCGTTTCGTTCTGTAGCCTCGTAGGTGGGTCACCACGGGCGAGGGATGACGTTTCCCCCCTTCACGTGCTTGCAAAGCAAACATCGACTCAAAAACCTGCGGCAAACTTGAGTGAGGTTCGCGATCTCGAACAGCTCCTTCACTGTTGTGATCATGGGCTCTAATCCTCTGTGACCCTGGGCTCCACAGTGAGCGACGATCAAAATCCGCTGCAGTAGTGCCACTTCAACTTCAGGTATCCACAGTCGATCGTTAACAACCAGGGATCCATTGTCGTCACGCTTTACGTTCACGGGTGCACTGCTGACATGCTTTTGCTGCACTGTCTGGATCTCGCTCAGAGTAGGAATGACAAATCCGTTTGCTCGCAGGTGTACACGCTGCATTTGAGTGTCAGCTACAGCAGTCTCCCGAGTCCTGCTTCTGGTGATAGCTTTGCACTTGGTTAGCACTCCCTCCTCCACTGAAGGAAGCCCCCACCGCGATAGAAAATCGGCCCATAAATTGGCAGATCCATCGATATGCTCAATCTGATACTGCAACCCTGTCAACGAGAGGGCCCAGCGTTGAAGTTTTCCACGCACATGGCTCTTCACCTCTTGATCAGGAGCGAACACGTACACGAGGTTCTTGTGATCGCAGTAGAGTCTGAACCCGTTGCCCCGAACTAACAGGTAGGTCAGGTTGCGAGACGCCCAAATAATGGGGAAAGCTTCTTTTTCAATGATACTCCAGCGCCTCGCCGTGTCATCAAACTTCCCGCTCTTGCATACGAGCAGTTCGTGCTGTTGATCCGCCACCGGAACACCCTCAACCCAATCATGGACCTGCGTGACTACTAGCCCCCAGCCTCTGTCGGAAGCGTCCGACATGAGTACGATTGCCGCATCCTGGGCTGGGTGATGGAGTGTTTGAGACGTAGCAAGTAGGTTTCGTGCATCTTCAAATGCAGCTGTATCACGAGCATCCCATTGGAGAGCCGCACCTGCGGCAAGTCGTTTCGTCCGACCAACTACTTTCAACACAGCTTCCAACTTGTCATGCAAAGGCTGCATCACCCGGCTGAAATCCATAAGAGAGTCACGCATCCATCCGGTTGCACAAAGGAACTGTTGTAAATCCGCAGCAGTACCGGGCAGAGGGAGTTGTCGGAGGCCACTAAGCCGTTCTGGGTCATGACAAACTCCAACACCATTGAAAACTCGGCCGCACCACTTAGCCTCCTTCCGAAACAGAAAACTTTTCATCACACTGAGTTTCAATCCAAGCTTGCGTGCACGAGCCAAAAACAGCCTCAACACAGCGACGAAAACTACCGGCGAAGGCGCGTACAGCAAAATATCGTCAATCCAGATCAACAGATTCGTTCGCAACATGTCCTCAAATGCTAAGTTCATCTGATTCTGGAAATGCAAAGGAGAATCCATAGCTCCTTGAGGAACACGACATGGCGTCCATACTCCTTCGTCCGTAATGAAACTCAAAGGCTCCCTACTGTCCACATCAAGCGGCAGCTGAGAAAACCCACTTGGCATGTCAAAACCTGCGAATCCGTAAGCCCCTGCAACGTTCCCAGAGGACGACGTAAGATCAGCACCTGTGCCAGCAATCGGCACGGTTACCACGTTCACCGGTCGGTAATCGACCGTCAATCGAAACTCGTTTGGCCGGCCAACCTTCACAACCGGCACCGCCGCACAAGCCCACAAGCTCATGTTGTTTCGATAGATAAATCCGTTCTTTTCCAGTATCTGGACATGTTCTCGTAGAAACGCGCTCTGTGCTGGAGAATAACGGCGAGGGCGAGCTCGGTAAGGCTGAGCTTCTGGCTTCAACGTGATTCGTAAGGGTTCGACATCTGCAGGTGGGTCGTCGAGCAAGTCGACTCGAAATACATCTTCATGTTCCATCACAGCTTCACGAAGGCCACCCAGATAATCTCGATCAAAGCCACTATCACCCGCCGCCGCCACCATTTCCTCCAATTTTACGTGTACCTCAGTTGGGGGCATCATGGATGGGACACCTAAATCGAACGGGTCTTGGTCCGCAACAGGGGGGCCAGATGCTAGTTGTGAAAGCTGCTCATTGACATCAATGCCAAGCGTTTTCAACGTGTCATTTCCAAGGATGAAATCTGACTCAGGACCTTCCATCACTTTGCAGTACACATCAGACAAGTGTACGGGACCTGCAACAGTCTGCAACAGTAGATCCAGCGTGACTGCTTCACGACACTTCACTGTATTTCCTCCTGCCGCACTCTTTTTCTCTGTGCGAGGTAATTTCATCACGTTCAGAACTGCTCCAAGTCCAATCAACTCATCTAAGTACTGTCGAGGTAGGTATGTCTCCTCCGACCCTGTATCAGCAAGGAACGGGATCGTCAAAAGGTTATTAACCATTGTTTCGCCCGGAGCAGGTGCCGATCCGATCTTCTTGACACGTCCATTTGTCGCTTGACGAACCTCCTTCATCTTCTCCACGGCTCGAGCTTTCTCGTCTTCGCTCGCCGCTGGACAATCCCTCAACCAATGAGGTCCCTGGCAGTGCCAACAGCCCGTCTTCGGTGGAAGTGTTTCTTTCTTGGGCAAATTCTGCTTCACACTACCGCCAGCACCACCAGAACCACCGCGTATACTGCCAGTGGCACCCTGCGTATTTGCTGTCTTCATACTTGCTGATCTGGCTTCAGGTTTGTTGTTGTTGCGATCATTCGCCTTATCCTTCTTGGACAAGTTCGACTTGACCTTCTGCTCATGTGCCATTACATGGTACTTATGCTGTGCACGGGCTTTCTCCTTAATAATCCCAAAAAGCGTGAAGTCGTTGCGCCTCGCTTCACGACATTCGTACTTTACGTGGCGACGCACGTCGTCTCGAAGCATCTTCGGCTCCAAGTTATCGATGAGAACAGTGCACCGTAGTTTCATTCGGTCAACGTACCCACCGTCGGCAGGATCACCCACACCAAGGATCTTCGTAAGACCATTCTCCTTAATGAGCGTAGCGAAGTCCTTGTAGTATTTGAGTACTCGGGCGTCAATGTCATCCTCTCGGAGGTCGATCTTCAACAGTCGTGAAAAAAAGTCGTCTAAGTCTGGGACTTGGGCGTTCTTAACAGACCCGAGTCTAGCGTCGATCAGGGTGACCAATTCTTCACTCGTCACCTCGTCGACAGCCTTCCGGAGTTCGTAAAGGCAGAGTACTTCGAGCAGTTCCGGATCAACACAAGTCTTGACCGGACGCAGAGCAACTTCCAGTCTTTCCCCACTCTCAGTGCAACGCTGGCGAACAATACTCACGTATTGTTCCGACCTCTTCTTCCAGCTGACAACTGCGTCCTGACTCCAGTCTGTCAATCTGGGTGCTTGAAAAAAACTCGAACACGGGTTGCTGAACGTTTTGCATCACAGCATCTCCGTCCGCATCGAATCGAGCTTCACTGCTTTGCATCTTGTCGCGGTCCTAAAAGGACTAAAGTTAACTTTGTGGTAAGTTCCGCTGAATGTTTGTTGCTTGCGAGGTAAATGCAATTGTGAGTTTATACGAACTGACCTATTGTCCTTCTTGACTTCTAGTGCTATGCCGTACGTATTGACTGGCCCTGAGCGCTCGGCGCCAGGCTGAAGTCCTCACCATGGTTGTGGTTGTCTTTTGAATACCAGATAGCCTCGAAGATGTAATACAGGCTGTGCTTCAGCCTACACTCCCCTGCCAAAATGAGGTCGCTAGCGACGTTCGAACCGCGGTTGAAGCCGATGTTCTGCTGGGCCATCTTAGCCACCCAGTCCCATCCATACTTTTCCACATAGCGAGTATACAGGAAGAGCACTGCGTCGTCGTCATGGGGATAAGATGATGCAATCTTGCCAGTCCACTTTGAATCCGTAAGATCAGCAGGCGAAGTTGGCGCTACCGTCCCTTCAGTGCACTTGAGTCATAGACGAACCCGAAGGTGAAGATCGAGTACGCCATCCACGCTTCACTGCTGTCCTTGAGAGCATCATAGATCTCCGAAAAACCCTTAGGTTTGTAAGAGAGTAGATCACCAGTCTTGGCCCAGCGAGTGAAGTCTTGAAGTGTCTGCAGCGCCACCACATCGGGGACCAACGTGTCAGTCTCGAGTTGGTTGTCAATTCGGACGTCGTGGTATTTGCTGTAGTCAACAATCATGGTGTAGTTGATCTCCGGGTACGCAGCCGTAAACGCATTCTTGACGCGGTTTTGCTGGGTGGGAGTGTCACCTCCGTGATACATGATGAGGTTGCCTCCTTCAGCGATGGCATCGGCGTAGAGCTCGGCGAGTGTCTTGGTCTCTTCTTCAACTGCAGCGATTGTGACGCTGCTTAATGCGGCTAGGAAAGCGTAGATTTTCATTTCGATGTGCTTTGAGGAAACACGGGAGCAGAAAGGTGTTTTGCCGAGGTGGAAAATTGGAGAATGACAACTCGCTCATGTTTTTTTTTACCAACGATTCAAGGTGCCCGCACAGAAGTCCTTGAAGCGAGTCAAAAAGGGTGATGCTGCTTAAAGCATCCTGGTACATGTACGACCAGTTGCCGCCACAGCGTGAGTCACACGAGAGCGGGAGGATCGGGGTCACGCAAACTAGTGATGCATGCAGGCCCTGCATGTATCACTAGTTTGCGTGACCCTGCATTGCAGGGTCCCTGCATCAGAGATTGCCTCGGCTATCAGTCTTCCAATCCCAATCCCGCTCGGCAACTTTGGGAAGAGCACAAAAAACATTTTAACTTACCAAAACGTTTTTAAAAGATACATGTATTACTAGAGAGCATTCAGAGTAAGCTTATAATAGCAAAGATTGGTGCATGCTTCGCCAAATGTTTTGGAACTAGACGATTTCCAAATGACTCGAGAATAGAATTGGACGTGTCAACCTATTCTTTTAAACCAGCCATAAGACGCCAAGTCAGCCCGCATTATGCTCACCAAATTGGTGACCAATGCCCTTGCAATTTTGCCAGCATCATGCTACCCATCGGAACACACGTACTGTACGTGTATTCCTTCGGACCATTACGTATGACGTAGTCGTATGAGTGTTCAAACACAAGGCTTGGTGGAAGCTTAAGAACTCCGAGCTATTAATAGAGTCTGAATGGATAGGCTGCCAGCAATTTGCTGCTGGTAGCAAATCACCAGCAGCAGCAGTGACACTGCCAGTGCTTCTAGGCGGTACAGCACTACAGATGACCCCTTCCGTAGTCATAGCGTCACGATTTATTTCTAGCTCAGAGGTATACCTTCAAAATGGTACATTTACAGAAGGCAACCATGAAATGAAGGTTGTTCGGTAGTGCTGTAAGCACTGCTGCTGGTGATTTGCTGTCAGCAGCAAATTGCTGGAGGCCTACAGTACCCAAACAGACTCTGGCTCTGAGTTTTTAAGCTTCCAGCAGATCACCAGCAACCTTCAACAGCTTGTTTGAACACTCATACGACTACGTCATTCGTAATGGTCCAAGGGAATACCGTACATGTACATGTACAGTATACGTTACATGTAACATGAAAAACTCCGATTCGGACGAGTAGCTTACGTAGACTACGTAAAGTAGTACGATTCGTACTACGAAAGCTGGAGACTTTCCAGCTCTCCAGTGGAGAGCGCCAGACGCCCAGCGCGGAAACCGCACCTTGTCTTCAACGACCCTGACCAAACTCATCACTGGAAATTTCCAGTGGAAAGACCACTCGGAGCCAGGATTTAAACGGCTATTAATAATCTTGCTGTCCTACAGTCGACATCCTCGTCGGATACTAAACTTTGTCAGGATCGCTAACAGAGTGACTACATCGTGTAGAACACAAGACGGTTGGAGTAAAAATTGTAATGAACTAGGTTACATAAAAAAAACAAAGCCCCCCCCTGTAGGCAATCCAGGCACGTGCTTGTTATTGTATCCTCGCGGTGCATTTTCATTTTTTCTTTTCTGGTTCATAAGCAACACTACTCCAACTGGACATGCGCTCGTGGTTACACCTCACACGGGCCCCTTGATGCAGCAGGTTGCGTCGCCTATGAAACAAACGCTGGATCATTTCTCGTTTAGGGAGACGTAACTGCTTTGACCCTTTTAAAAGATCGCCACTGGATGCATCGAATCATTAGAAGCAGAGTCACCCGCTGAAGTAACCAGGAGCATTTAATTTATACACATGTTTAAGAAAGTTAAAATTCAATTCGTCCAATCCGAACCAGCTCAATCCATATCCAAACACCAAGAACCTGAAGTAATCACACACGGTGCATCACTCGCTGGTGAATCACCAGCGAGTTTTTTGTACCTACCCAAAGAAACCCGCGAAGAGTACATGTGTTATATGAAGACGTTGGTCTGACTAACACTACGTACTCGTAGTACTTCGGTGCAGATTTCGGGTAAATGCGTAAGCTGCAACTACTACAGAGAAACCCATTAAAGACCAGGGTGAAGTCCAAGGACCCCAGGACTGGGCTCTCCCTGCACCTCGCCAAAGTACAGAGCAAAGGTCTGTTTCCATTGCTCCACCTTGGCGCGATCCTCCATGAACTTCGGAAAAGCTGCCATATTCGCTTCGGGGATATTCCAAGGCTTGTTAGCGTTGATGTCCGTTCGTACACTGTTGAAAACCACTGTCGTCGGGGCTTCCTGTGAAATAGCCCAGTTCATGAACAGCTTGGCGGCAGCAGGGTGCTTAGCCTTGGACAGAATACCGACACGCTGACCCCAGCTCAAATAGTCCGTACCGTTGCCGCCCACAAACTCGATCGGAGCGCCGCCCCCACCAGTGCCCACACCAATCAACTTCTCCCCAGAGCTGACGAGCTCGCCCGCAACATTCGATCCACGGCTAAACTTGATGTTCTGCTGTGCCATCCTAGCCACCCAATCCCATCCGTACTTCTCGACGTAGCGAGTGTAAAGGAAAAGCACGGCATCGTCATCGTGAGGGTACGACGAAGCGATCTTGCCAGCCCACTGCGGGCTCGTCAGATCTGCTGGAGTAGCAGGCGGTGCAACGCCGTTGATTGCAGTCGAGTTGAAGATGTAGCCAAACGTGAAAATAGTGTACGCAAGCCACGCGCCGTTCTTGTCCTTAAGAGAATCGGGTATCTTTGAAAAGTTGGCGGGTTTGTAACGGAGAAGATTACCCGTCTTAGCCCAACGAGTGAAGTCCTGAAGCGTCTGGAGCGCCACCACATCAGGCACAAGCGTATCAGTCGCTAATTAGTTGTCAATGCGCACGTCGTGGTACTTGCTGTAGTCGACGATGACAGTAAAGTTGATTTTCGGGAAACGCTGCGAGAATGCTTCGTGTAGACCGTTTTGCTGCGTAGGAGTGTCACCTCCGTGGTACAGGACCAGGTTGCCGCCTTCAACGACAGCATCAGCGTAGAGTTCGTCAAGGGACTTCGTTTCTTCGCCAGATTTGGCTACGACCGCTGAGGAGACGAAAGCACAGGCTACAAGGAGCGGGGCAAATAGCTGCATTGAAGTTTTCGGCGATCAGAAAAGAGCGTAAATGCTTGAGTCGGAGCAAGGAAGTTTTAGAATGATCGAGATTGATGAATGAAAGAGTTCCATAGGAGTAGTAGTCTTACCAGTACTGTGAGCTCTACCAACATTGGGAAGCCCAATTTGAAACGGATTCCCAACCTTGCTGTTCGAGGTACAACACGAGTGTACCGCCATTCCGTCGTGGTTGACGCGGCTAGCAGCGGACACACTGCGATACACAAACATCTTCTAGCATTTTTACAATTTTTTGACTGTGTGTGCTCTTTTTACTACATGCAAGTTAACACAGAGTCGTGGTGTAACAGCTTCTTACCCTTTTCTTTAGCGTAAATTTGATTTTTTTTGGGTGGGTGGGTGGTTGCTGCTCCATTTGCATTTACAACCCATGGCAACTCGACAGCTCTGTTTCTTAGCATACATGTTTGAACCTCGACAACAGAGCAGCATCAAAACAATCAAACGGTCAAAGAACGCAGGACCAAGAGTATGCTGGGCCGATTCTTATAGCACAGGTTTCGTAATTGTCCTTCTCAGAGGCGAAAGCTTCAGCGGACGGAGCTCCATGGTTACTTCATGAACTTTATTAGGTGGCGCGTATCGCTAACTCGCGAACAGCGACGATTGTTGGTCTTTATTTGTGGCGATGGCAACGTCTTTAATACATGGACATTTGACTGAGTTAAGTTAATGTTTCATTGACCTAGTGTGCTCAAATAGTTCGAGGTATTACCCTTTTTGAGTGTATAAACAGACTTGCAATCCCGATTGTAAGGGCAACCTGATGTACCACGTACCAGTCGTGCACTGTATGCAACTCGTCTGAAACAGTTGGAGACTAGCTGAGGATCACGTAGTCGAAGCTTTGGTAAACAGCGTTAGCCGACGATCGGCCAGCAGCCAATCCAATACAACAAAGCGCTTGCGTGGCAGATCGAATGGTGGCTTACGTTACTACCTGGCAAAATAAGGGATTGCGAGTGTACCTGTACCGTACAACGAGGCGGTGCTTGAAGTTATTAATATTATAGTGCGAAAGCAGAATTCTGACCAGCAAATCTTCAATGGTCAATCTGCGCTTAGCGAATTGAAATCGAACTTCGCAAGTTGCACTGGCATTACTGGTGGTACCAGGCATGGCAAAAAAAAACGAACAAAACACTCTTTTGATTGAAAATGAAGAAAATTCTACCAGGGGAGGCATATCAAAGCGGATGCACGTGTAGGTTGTTATTAGAGATTTCCTTGGAATGTGAAAAAGGGTGCCCAATTTTTATGCACATAGCCACTGCCTTTTCAAATTCTCAGGTATCACGCAGCGTGACGCACGATTCTGTGTCTCCACTTACTTCAAACAAGCTGTTTGAAGCCAGACCGCAAGACGTCTGACCCATCACATAGTGTAGTCCACATTACCGGCATTTTTTAAATAAATAATTGCACTTATTTTTAATAATAAGTGTTTGAATAATTAAAGTATTCATTAAAAACATCTAATTACTTACATTTCCAAATTTTATTTCTCGTTCACCCCTCCCATACAGAAGAAGGCCCTAGATCGAGCAGGGTCGGAGCATAAAACCACGCGTAAAAATGAGATGGGAAGAGGCAGGCATCGATTTGCTTTATCTGTGATCGAATTACCATTTCAAAACGGCAAAAAGGGTCGATTTACAGGATATCGATGTAGACTTGGTGGTTGATCGATCCTGAGCGGTCGATTTGGCTGCCGTTGCCAGATTTATCAGCCAGTCTAGCAGATCGATTTGTACCTTTTATAGACATCGATTTAATAAAACCACCTCTATCTATTATAAATTGAGCAGCAGGCTCAGTGAAATGGACAAAAGCATTGAAATGCGCAATAGACGTTCCGATTGGACGCTTTTAAATAATGGGACATCATTCTTTTTTTTTTTGGGGGGGCTCTGTTATTTGATTGAGTCAACAGGGAACTCAACACACTTATTCTAGGATATATACCTCCAGACTCCACAACGAAGCACTCCACAACGAACGCACACCCTCCCATTGGCTAAAATACGTCCGTTTCATTTCTCCCACTTGTTGCTTGCCATTTACAAAAATACCGATTACCGTACACATGACCTTGTCGTCGCGTTCCAGCATGCATCGTTGCAGCTGCAGCAGCCCTTTTCGGAACAGAAGTTCTGCCGCCGCCCATGACGGACCTGCAGGACGTGAAGGTCAATGGAGAGGGCTTGCTGCCCGATAGCGGCCGCAAGTGGAGCCCGGACGTGCTGCTGGAGCTCGTGAAGATCTGACGCTGTGTCCTGGCGCATCCGGACTGGGGTCGCGTGCAGTGGGGCGAGTCGACCTAGTCTAATGTGTTGGGAGTGCTATATGCTGGGAATATGGGGTGTGCTGCTCCTGCGCTGCACCATCAAGGCGACGATTCTTCGTGGGTCCACCGCATCAGTCACGACAGAGTACGTAGTAGTGATTGCATTTAATTCTGCGCTGAGGTTAATTATGAAATAGCTGGACTTATACACAGTTGTGTCGTACCTTGTGAATCGGAAATACGTTTACACTGGATGGAAAGTGGGCAAGCCGCAGCATATCTGCAGTGACTTTAACATGAGGAGCATCTTCCGAGCTCAACGGGAGGACCAACGTGGGCTTTTCAATGATCATGTCTAATACAACGCTGGCCTCTTCCTCGCGGAGCAGCATTTGAGTGGCGTTCATTAGAGTCTGGCTCACCATTGCTCCAAGTACCCCTTCAAGTACGAAATCCACCAGTTCCAAGACTTGCTGATGGTAATAAACGCCTCGAATCGGTTTAAACGTCAGACGCAGAGAGCCCTTTATCGCTTGCTCTTGGATTACACTGACCATCATGCTTGCCGAGAAGGCTGTCTCCGTAAATGTTTGCCCCTGATCCCTGCTACTGATAGTCATGAGTTGAAGGTGATCAACCTTGCAGCGGTGATGGTAACGAAAAGAGAATATGAGACGAGGTTATTGAGTTTTTGAGTTATTGTTTTCTGCCATTGTTGAATCTTCCTGCTTGAGATCTCGTCATCTCCGCTGGCACCCATGAGTTGGCGGACAATGGTGTGGTAACAAAGCCTCGTGCCGTTTAAAGGTGAGGGAGGAGATGCCGATCTTCAACGAGGTAGGAAGGTGGTGCTTGACGTCTGGATGAAAAGGTATAAAGGTTTGGTAATTCAGCTGGCAATGATTCTTGGTTTTGCTTCTTTTAATTCTCCGACGTGTATATCCGCAGCGAATATTCCTTAAGAAGACCTGGCAAGAGTCAACAAGGTAGTGTTAGCATTATTTTGCACTGGTTAGCCTCATCTAATACGACTCCGTGTTGTGAAACGTTCCTTACTTATGATATCCAGCATGATATCACAAGAACTCGCTATCCATCGTGCTCAACACCGTTGGCGACAATCCGCAAGCTTTCAGCGGTGACTCCCCAAGCACGTACACACCAGGTACAATCATTACTCCTGCTTTTGTTATCACCTTCTACTCCGCTGGTTGAACGCACACCAAAAAGAGGAAGGCCGGATCCTTAAGAAGACGTATCTTTCCAATTCTCCTTGAGCCACGCAGTTTCACCATCGCTCAAATCACTGTTGCCCAAGACTGTCCAGCTAGTCGGGTGAATCTTCTGCAGGTACGTCCACACAAATTCCTCCGTGGGTTTTCCACCACTACCTGACGGTATTCCAACCGGAAATATCTCCTTCAAAGTTTTGATGTTCCGTTCATATTCACGTACTGTGCGAGCCAATTGCAAGCGCATTATGTGCTGATTGACATTGTCTTTTTTCACATCGACCTTCTTCAATTTGTCGACGGTGTTAAACCGAATGTGAGCTGCACAAAACTTGAGATGCACGTGTAAGCCTAAACGTTGGAGCTCTTCCTGAGCGCCAAGTTGTTTTCCACGATCCGAGAAGGTCGGTCGGTCTTGTAGCAACACTCCTGCTGCAATGCAGCTTGCAAAAAACCAAACAAAATTTCCAATGGTCTCTTTGTGAACGTACGCGACAGCAACAGGTATAATCCTCTTGTTGTCGTCCTTTCCAACTAATGTCAAACAAACGCCATTATACTTTTCGTGTTTCATGTGGGTTCCGTCACACTCCCACACAGGAAGAAGTGAGTCCTGAACTTTCTAAGTTGGACCAATTGAAAGAAAAGAACGATAGAAACGACCCGAATCATCGAGCTGGCAACACACACGCAGCCCTTCGTTTTGTTCTGCGAACAACGCCATGTATGCTGGGAGCGCCTTGAATTCTTCGTTTGTATCGCTTTCCAATCTACTCAAAGCAGAGCTGATAGCTCGGTAAAGCACAGAATGGTTCTTCGAAACATCGATGTGCTCGACAGACTCGAAATTGTTGATAACTCGAGTCTTTGACGAACTATGGCCCTCCAAAATGGCCGCTCGAAATCCGTCCAAGCGCTCGATTTGACCTCTATTTGGGCTGGCCGTACTAGAACAGCATTGAACATGTTGAAGATTCAATTTCGAAGTGTACCAAAAGTTGTCTGGAACAAAGCTGAGCTTGGTCACCGGTCGCTTACGTTTTCTCTTCGTTTCCAATCTGACTCGTTTCCGTGATAAGACAACGAACCACTGACTGCCCCTCGCAGAACAAACCCATTTCCTGTAGTTTCCATGGTTGTTCTTAAGCCGTACAGACTTGTTTGTATTCAGTGCAAAGTCATTGATAAATTTCCCAGCAATATCAGCATTTGCGAAAGCAATGTGAAGGGAAATATCGTTGTAGCCATACTCTCCCAATAAGCCAATCGGCATTTTACTTCTCCAGCGCGAATTCCTGTGTGCTGTGCCTAGCTACGTACTCCTATCTTCCTAAAAACAACTTTTGAAACGGACGTTTTTTAGCCAATGGGAGAGTGTGCGTTCGTTGTGGAGTTTGAGCTGCTTCGTTGTGGAGTCTGGAGGTAAATATCCCTTATTC